GTAGAACTTACAACCTAGATTGGATGCCTTAAATGCGCCCTTTTGTAAATTAATAAACAGCCTAAATAATTAAAATTCTAACCAAAGTCACTATTCCACGCGAAGTCGCGGGCACAGCTAGTTCAGTACAATGTGTAAGGAGACGCGGGTTAAGTCTGTAACTGTCTGTCTTCTCCCAGGGTTTCCTAAGCAAGAAACGTCACTATCGCCTAAATACTGTTCGTAGTTTACGCAAGTAAATGTGTACACATTAAACTAAAATACTTTAACCGTTAAACGCGATACATATTAGTTAAACTTATTTCAAAATTATTTTAACTACGACCCGACGCTTCGGATGCTTTGCAGCAGTCGTGGTCACGGGAAGACTAAAGATGGAGGTTGTCTCTGTCGTCAAACAGCATACCAGCAAACGCGAAAACACCGTAAGTCAATTCTGCAAGGTCCCGGCCAGTTTCGCCCAATGCCAACTTCTACGGAACAGATGGCGCTAGGGTAGCAATTTTCTACTTAAAAAAATATTCTCGTCGTCGAAATCTCTGGTTTCTATAAATTCTGTGTTTTTATGTCAATGTACCAACACGATCTGACAGCAAGGACACGAAAACATTCTAATTTATGCCTTTGTCGCAATGGCCTTTAGCCACTTACCTAACTCATTAACGCGATGTTTTTATGTTATTCGCTCGTTATGTATCCTCTATGACAGACAAACATACAGAACTCTATCAATAAAGGCATAAACCTACTATGATATATTAGTATGCACAACAATTATTATGTCGTTACGGCGAATTAAACACTTTTTAAGCGTAGTAAAAAAAAACGTAAAAAGTTAGCTAATTTATTTCTAACACTTTAACGGTTTAAAACGCGATATATATTAGTTAAACTTGTTTGAAATTTAATTTAACTAATGCACGGCGTTTCGGAAGATTTGCAGCAGCCGTGGTCACAAGGACACTGAAGATGGAGGGTGTGTCTGACGTCAAAGTAAAATACTGCTACGCTAGCGCCATCAGTTCCATCAAACTTGTTATTTGGTATAATATGTCCCTTTTTAAACCGTTAGAAGTGTTTTATTTAACTTTTCAATATTACAGAATTCATGGTTAATCGTTTCTCCCTATCGCTCCAAAACCGTTAAACTCGTCTTGATAAAACTTTGATAGGAAGTTGTTAATCTCAAATTAAAGATGTTCTATGGATTACACTCTGTATTAACTTCCACAATATCTCAGGAATGATTCAATATCTATCTACAAGTGTAAAATTTGCATCTGTAGGCAGGATGTCCTTTGTTACCAGTAGAAGAAAATTGAGGCCAAGAGGGGCTTAATTCAATTTACTATAAATATACTAGAGACGTTCAAATATGCCTATTTTGATCGCCTAGGCCTAGGGCCTTCTTAGCCATTCATATTTATCAGTCAAAGTGTATGTAAGTACAATTTTTGGCAACACATTACGGGTAAATAGTTGCTTATGACAGCAAAAAAGATTGGTTTTTATTCGAGGTTCAATTTAATACTGTCTGTAGCTTACGCGAGAAGTACACTTTTAAATGAAACACTTTAACGGTTTAAAATGCGATATATATTAATTAAACCTATTTGAAAATGAATTCAACTACGGCCCGACGTAGACCAGGGCTAATATAAATCCCGTTTTGAACCGTTGAAGTGTTTTATTTAAAGTTGAGGTGTGTCAGCTGGGCCTTCTTCAGATGTCATCGAACTCGGAACGTAAATTTTTGTACACGTTCTGTTATTCATACATCAAACGCCGCATAATTAAATATTACCTTGGTGTGTGTGTAAAGGTGGGAGGGGGGGGGGGGATGTGTATGACTCAATAGTTTGGGGCAGGAGATTTATTGAGTCTTAGTAGTATACGCGGGGAGTAAAGATTCAATAAAGCACTTTAAATAAAGTAATGATGTTTTTCATAATAAATTGTTGCATACATTTGATCCTAAAAAAACTCATGAGCATTTTTTTGATAGCAATAACTAGAAGAAAAAAAACTAAAACGATCATTTCCTTTTTTTTTACTGTAATGTTTGGTATGTCATTGGGAAAGACATTGACAACGAAAAGAGAAAAAAAACACTTTCAGCTTATTCAAATTTTTTTTATTCTTTGTTATGAACAGTTATTGATTATCAATCGACAAAGGACATTATAGAAAAAAAAAAAATTGGTTATGTAATATTAAAAAAAAATGTATTCAACAGTTGAGATAAATATTTATTTAACGATAACCAGTTTTAATACAAACAATTGATATTATACACAATTGTGTTGTATAGTCATTTAATTCAATCATTGATTTTACCTATGATAGAAAATTACTTAAGATGTGCGACGGCCACTGCTAAGATTCAATCTATTGCATTTATACATAATTCATTATAATTATGTTGCCTTGGAATGTTTAATAATCCGTCAAAGAAACTTCTAGACACGTCATCTTGTATCTTTAAAAAATTCTATGAAATCTGAGAATAAACCTAACGTAACTATAGTCTTAGAGCAAGATCACTAAAGCCCTCATAATCTATCAATAAAAAAGCCATTGTCAGAAGGACACTGAAAATGGAGGGTGTGTCTGACGTCAAAGTAAAATACTGCTACGCTAACGATCAGTTCCATCAACGTTGTTATTTGGTATAATACATGTCCCTTTTTAAACCGTTAGAAGTGTTTTATTAAAATCTTCAATAATACAGAATTCATGGTTAAACTTTTCTCCCTATCGCTCCAAAACCGCTAAACTGATTTTGATAAAACTTTGGTAGGAAGTTGTTAATCTCAAATTAAAGATGTTCTATGGATTACACTTCTGTATTAAGTTCAACAATATCTCAGGAGTGATTCAATATCTATCTACAAGTGTAAAATTTCGGATTTTCGATATTTCTACCACCCGATTAATATCCATTTCTAGACAAAAAATATAAATTGATTAAAATAATGTTGAACCCGGTGGGGTTCGAACTCACGACCCATCATTATTATTTTGATTTGTTTATCAAAATAACCTTATGTTTGTTACTGTTTTGATACTTGAATTAAACTTATATTGACATACAACTCATCGTTTAGCATAGTACGAATAATGTAAATGTCACTTCAAGTGCTCGAATTAATACATCACGTCCTTAAAAATAAACTTCTTAGAAATATAATGTATTATATTCCATTTGAACAGTGTAAGTTTGTATATGAAATAGTTAGCAAGTATGTGAATAAATATGGAGATCGTGATTTTTTATATTTGGACACGCGCTTAGTATCCTCAGAAAAACATCTGCGGGAAATCTTAAGTGACTTTTCAGGCCGCAAGGAAACTGATTAGAATTGATTCCTGAAACCTTTTTTCTTTTGTTCTAGAGAATCATCTAATGGTGTTACCATGTATCGCTAATAATCACCGGACCTAACATGTTTCTAATTGAATACTGTCTATAGTTTACGCGAATAGTACACATTTAAATAAAACACTTCAACGGTTTAAAACGCGATATATTAGTTAAACTTATTTGAAAACGTCGGGCCGAAGTTAAAAATCATTTTCAAATAAATTTAACTAATATATCGTGTTTCAAACCGTTGAAGTGTTTTATTTAAATGTTTCTAATTATTTTATAATTCTTTGAAACATATACTTCATCTGGAAATCTGGATAAATGCGTGGTAGGTAGGGAGTATCGAAATTTCGTCCAGATCATGAACTAAGAATAGGCCGACAGCGCATATTGTTGAGATGTGTTCGACTGGGACATTTCAGCTCTTGCGGGTCATAAAAAGATGTAATTTTTTTTTCTCAAGAACTTATTATTCTTCATAGACATTTAAATGACAGTGTTAGGAATCCATTAGTATACATTTTATGCTTGTTAAAGGCACATTAATTTAAGAATCTGAATGTCCATTGTTGTCCTATACCACCGGAGTATAAGCCATCTTCTTTCGATAGAACTTGTTCCCTTATTTTTTTTAATACAAACTTCCTCCTCACCTTTACAAATTACTAGCTGAGTCAGCTATAAATTAAGCAGTTACGCACGACGTCGTACGCGTACCGTCGTTTTTGCAATTTAATCTTAAAAGATAGACATATATACTGATAGGTTTTTTAGATCATTTTAAGAGGAATATTTTTTGGGTATCTCTAACCGCAGCGTACGCAACAGAAACCCAAAAGGACGCATTTTTTTCTAGATTTTCCGCATTTGTTTTTTATTCTACAGCCTAGAGCCTCCCTCGATAAATGCCCTAACCAACACAAAAGTGGTTACGTAAGAAATCGGTACAGTAGGTCAATTTCCTGCCACCGTTATTGTGCGGAGATGTCGCTATTTTCGTCTGATTGAGATATAGTTGAACCGCTAACCGCCCACACTATCACTATATACTATAGCTCACCGCTACATCTAACCTCGGTTCGAATAATGATCTAGTGGTGGACGCATCGATCATGGGATTCGAAATTATCATAATAATCCTCCAACAAACCCACATCTATATCATACCTATACAAATATATAAAGCTGCAGAGTTTGTTTGTTTGAACGCGCTAGTCTCAGGAACTACGGGTAGTTTTCTAAAATAAATTTGGATGTCCAAAATAACAATTCCATGCGGACGAAGTCGCAGGCACAGCTAGTTAATGAGTAAATTATAAGCACGTTGAGAAAAATACAGTTAAATAAAACGCTTTAACGGTTTAAAACGCGATATATTAGTTAAACTTATTTGAAAATGATTTTTAACTTCGGCCCGACGTTTCGGATGCTTTGCAGCAGCCGTGGTCACGGGGAAACTGCCATTTTCAATAAGTTTAACTAATATATCGCGTTTTAAACCGTTAAAGTGTTTTATTTAAATGTGTACTACTCGCGTAAACTATAGAAAGTATTTAAAATACAATTAGTCATATTTTAGAAACAATTGCTCAGCCATACGGGTGTAACAGAGTTTCGTTGTTTGTTTTAGGAGGCGGAAGAGTGGGCCAAGAGGAACAACAGGCCCAAGATCAACCCGACATTTGAACCAGATGACATCCTTCCTCAGAGGTAATGTGCACTATTGAAAACATTATTACACATAGTTGAGTATAGAACACACCTACATTATACTTTTTATATATCAATGATAATAATTATTACAATGGTCTATGTAATATTTTGTTTTTTTTTTATATCGTCGCTTACACGAGAATTGGAAAAGTTAGTTACCATAAAAACGGTTCTCGAAAGTTAATCTTAAAAAATAGACGCTAAAGAAAGATGAGAAAGAGGCATTTAAAAACATGTTTCGGATGCTTTGCAGCAGCCGTGGTCACGGGGAGACGGTTTAGTTATATTATAGTTTAGATTTGGATGTTGGTATAGGAAACTTCGTCAGTCTGGCCACATCACGTAAATATGTTTTTCAGTAACCAATGATATAGAAACGAAGGTAGCATTGTAATACCATATGACGTCATGACGTCAAAATAATTACATATTGTGCTATAATTTACGGCTTACACTCCAAACGAATTAATTATATGAGCTCCCTTTTGTAGCGTCTGTTGTGTCGTTTAATCCGGAACAAATCCAAGAGCAATATCTATAGTGACCGAATATGTAAAGTATAATCCGAACCGTGTCGTAACCGGGCCGCAGTTAAAATAATTTTCAAACAAGTTAACAAAATATAGATCGCGTTTTAAACCGTCAAAGTGTTTTATTTATCGTACTACTCGCGTAAACTAGAGACAGTATGAAAAACTTTGTTTTTATCCAGTTATTGACATATAACTAAATAATGAATTAATTATTTGTATACTAAACTCATAAAAGCATAAATCCACCATCCTGCTCCAGTGCAGGGTGGTGGAATATTTGTGGTATTAACCAGACCAAACCTATGAACCTAAGATAATATTGGAATGTATAAAAACCTTTTGCCACTATCCACGATATTTCATACGTTACTGCACCAGAAATCGAAGTGCAAATGCTCAAGGTCACAGTGCCGTGCCGAGCGCTCTTCGTTTCAATTAATCAATATTAGTGTTTCCAAGCAAAACACCACCATGACCAAGTAAGTCCATACGACTTGTTTATTATATTGCCACAGAACTAAGCCCTACATATCGTGGATAGTATTAATATGTGTGAAGTGAATTGTTTAAGTGTCTGTGTTGAAATTCGTTCAGTACAAAGTTGAAATAATGTGTGTGTGTATTACGAGATACGTAAAAAGTTACTTTTATGTTTTTATTTTGCTTATAAGTGGAAAATTAACTAGGAAAAGATGAATGGAAGCTTAGAACAACTAGTTGACGAAGTGATCACAAATATGAACAATAAATACGTGTGTTCACATTTGAATACTAATATAAACACTGTCTGTAGTTTACGCGTGTAGTACACATTAAAATAAAACACTTTACCGGTTTAAAACGAGATATATATTGTTAAACTTATATATCTACGACGTTTCAAATAAGTTTAACTAATATATATCTGGTTTTAAAAATATATATTATTTTATTCTGTTATGGATATATAATTAATTGCCGTAACTATTATTTTTAAATAAAACACCGTATTAGTTTAAAAAAACCACTTTAACGGTTCAAAACGCGATATATATTGGTTCAACTTGTTTGAAATTATTTTAACTACGGCCCAACTTTTATAAGTTTAACTAATATATATCGCGTTTTAAACCGGTAAAGTGTTTTATTTAATGTGTACCTACTACTCGCGTAAACTGCAGACAGTATTTTATCACACATATATAATCAAAAAATATAATTGTTAACAGAAGATACCGTTGCTCACTGTTAAGTATTTTAACTTATTTAGCAACTGTGTCTGAGTATATACATACACTAGCTATATCAGCGACTTCGTCCGCGTAAAATTGGTATTTTGGGCAAAATAACTCCCGCGCGTCCCATCGTTCTTGCAAGTTGCTTAAAAGGTAGTGTCGCAAACATTTTTTTATATCATTTAAATAAGAATCATTCTTAGTACATACTTTTTGGGTATCTTGAACCGTTTTCGCAGCGTACGCATCGGAAGCCCACTAGGATGAATACATTTCCCCGTTTTTCCCACATTTTCCGCTGTTACTACTCCTATTACACAGTGCGATGTTTTATAGCCTATAACCTTCCTCGATCATTTTAAATTCGAACCCGTAGTACCTGAGATTAAATAAACAAACAAACTCTTCAGCTTTATATTTCTGTAGTAAACACTCGTACTATTGTTTCTTATTCTCGTACTATTGCTACTCAATAAGAAATTGTTATGTAAGTTACTATAGGAGCAACGCTGTTTAGTTTCATAAATAAAATGTTGATATCTTCCAGTCTATCACCGGTCAAGGATGAAAAGAAAAATCCAGCGGACAAGGGTATTTTCCTCGTTGACATGAATGACAGAGACCTGAAGGAAGTGGAAGAATATGAACCTTATGATAATAGGGTTGTGGAACGCCCTACCACGTAAGTCAATGTTTGATTCTATGTTATCCAAGCCAGAAGTGAAAATATAAACATAGTCAATACCGTTTTTTTCAAAATTCTGTATCAGTTTTAAAACTGGAATTAATCTACAGACAGGTCGGTAAAACAGACCTCTGTGCCTCGTCCAACTGAAGTTTATTTCCCGGGATTCGAACACGCGACCTCTCCCGCTTATCCTAATGATGGATCCCTCTAAGAGAAATAACTTCAAGCCCCATATAATCGGTATTAATGCTAAATTCCAAATACATTCTTGTACATTAACTAATCTTCTATAAAGTGTGGCGCGTGGCTTGCGGCACAAGCGGTATTTAGATTATCCTACCACCCATACTCTTCGCACAAGATGTATGGAGTTTTAGGTACTATAACTTCAAGGCAAGGTGCTAGTATAGTCAAGCGACTTCGTCCGCGTAGAATAGCAATTTTTGGCCTTCTTTTTATCTTTATAAATTTAAGCTATTACCCACGGCGTCACACGCGTCTCGTCGTTTTTGGAAGTTAATCTTAAAGATATACATATTTCGCAGAGATTTTTTTAGATCATTTAAAGAGGAATACTTTCATACGTATTTTTTGGATATCTTTCGCATCGGAAATCCACAGAGATGAATATTTTTTTCCATATTCCCCGCTGTTCCTTCGCTCCTATTAGTCTCAGCGCAATTTATAGCCTTGATAAAAATGCTCTAACCAACATGAAAATAATCTTTCAATTCCCACCATAAGTTCCTGAGATTAGTGCGTACAAACAAACAACCGAACTTCAGCTTTATATATTAGTATAGATTGAGTGTAGGCGACTAAAACATATTTTAACTATTCTTTAATAGATGTCATAACATAACTGTACCGTATCTTGTTATCGTGTCATTTACAATTACAGTAGAACAATCTTTGTAATTTGCTTAAGAGCCGCTGCATATCTGCCACTTATACTAAAGCGTCTTAAATTATTCAGTGGAAATGACAGTAAACATTATTTGTTCTTTGTAAGACAGGTCAATGATAAATAGAGCCTTGATATACATCCTGTATCTTACGAGGAAGTCGCATCGTGGGACATTTTATGATGCCATCGGACTTTTAATATACGTGTAATATCGAAGTGTATAAGTAAGAAGAGATAAAAAAAGTTTTCCTTAATTTACTAGTAATTTAACTTTTATAAATGCATTTAAATAAAACACTTTAAGGGTCTAAAGTGCGATATATTAGTTAAACTTATTTGAAAATAATTTTTAAATTCGGCCCGACGTTTCGACGTTTAACTAATATATCGCGTTTTAAACGGTTAAAGTGTTTTAAATGTGTGCTCCTCGCTTAAACTATAGACAGTATTTTTATAAATGCAATTCATCAAATAAATACTCGTACTAAACCTTAAGTGTTGCTGAGCAGGTAATGTTTTTAACATTTTTCATGAGGGACAGACTGAAAATTAACGCTTAGCAAGTCGGGTCTGATTCTTTTCAGCGCATTGGTACATAACATTCTACTTTTCATTATTCTTATTGTTAGATTTTTCAATTATTAATTTTAGTTCAAAGTTATGTACCATTATGTTAATAAACGGATTATTTGTTTATTATATATTTAATTTTCAAAAAGCATATCTATGCTAATATATAAAGCCGATGAGTTTGTTTGTTTGTAAGCGCTAATCTCTGTCTCGAATTGAAAAATTCTTTTGCGAAAACGGTTTAAGATACCCAAAAAATGTGCGTGAAAGAATCATTCATCTTTAAGTGACCATAAAAAATATATTTTAATATTAAATTGCAAGAACGACGGGAAGCGACCGACGTCGTGGGCTTAAGTTTATAAAGATGAAATGTTTGCTAAAACGAATTTGGATGCCCAAAAATGACACAGCTAGTATGATTAAGATATATATAAACTACTAATATATCACTAAGCTGGCAAAATTCGTCTATCTAGTACAGTGAAGTGTCCAATAATTGTAAATGCGAGACATGCCCATACTGGGAAATATCAGTATAAACATTTACGAGCGTTTACGCAAAACGGCATCATAAAAGTGTAATGAAAACGATTGAAATTCAGATCATATGTATCCAAGCGGGCAAAGGCATTTCCTTATTTATCCGACTAGTCGCGCCCCGCGGCGTTTTCTTGAATTATCAGACAGTAGGTCACTCCTGTGTTACAAGGAGCGGTGTTACATACAATTCGCCTTTAAAAAAAAATATCTTCCATTATGTAGATTTTAAAAATAAAATAAATCTTTTGCCTCTTCTTTCCTGTTAAGAAACCCCAAACGCAAAAAAAATGTAACGAAATTATAACGTTGACAGGAATTATACACTTATTCCACTTACAAAGGTTACAAACACAACCGTATGAGGAAGAGGAAGTGGCGCCATTACAGATTTCAAATAAATTCTACTACTTATCGCAAAAAATTACGATTGAATGGGTTTAATCACATCTGTCCATGTTATACAGAGTGTTCGAAAAATGCAAACAAACAAACATTAAGTTGGTACGGCCCGGCACCACCGCAGCTGCTGCACAGCATCCGAAACGCATTTTTAAGTTTTAAACTGTTAAATGTGTAATATTCGCGTAAACTACAGACTCAACTGAAACGGTCTTAAATTTTATTCAATATTTTAAACAATTTATTCTTTACTCTTTCAGTTATTTCAATAATTGTTAAAATATCTAAACGGCTAATCAATTAAGAAATTCGTTAAATATTGCTTTATAATAGAATTGACAAGTAGCCAAGAGGAGATACTGTATTAAAATTACATAAAATCTAAAATATTTTCATGTTGGTATCAAGATATGCTTTTAAACGTTAATGCATTTAAAAAAAAACATTCACTACCAAATTTAAATTCAAAGGCGTAGAACGAACGACAACGCCGAACTCGTCGCCACTCCTTAGCTCGCCAAGTTTTTGTTACAAGTTGAATAAATCCTGCATATATACTCGTATTAAACAAAAATCATCTTTCGTTTTAGGTAAATTAATTTCTATAGATATATGCTTTAGGTGTATTTTGAAACGGCCTGTATATTTGATGACGTCAGTACGTTACGCAGTCTCTTAATATGGCTAAATAGTTTCACACCTTCAAGCTTTAAGGTAAAAGGAAAGCTTTAAAATGTTAATACATGAAATATAATCTGTTCGTGCGAGACTAGATTTTACTTTATATGGATATTCACTAATAACCCAAATAAAAAGAACTCCAATATCATCTACGCACATAAAGGCCTTTGATTTTCAGTTTAGTAGTGATTTCAAATGAATTTAATTTTTCGAAACGTAAAAAATATCTCATATTGTCTGTAGTTTACGTGTAGTACATATTAAAAAAAACACTTAACGGTTTAAAACCCGTCTTAATGCGTTAAAGTTTTCGTTGTAATACAACAAATTTGAAAATACATGTTCTTAGTCGCACACAAAATGAAAAAAAAAACTTCATAACATTAAACAAAATGTGAAATCTAAGCTAGATATCATATTTCTTTCGTGCAAAAATTATCACATTACTCTTGTATATTAAACAATGAAAATGCAGAGTTTGTTAACTGGATATGCACGTGTATTGCAATACTAAGAATTGTATACATATAAGGAACATGATACTTCAAGAAGCTATATTTTATTCTTGTACAACCTCCAAGTTTGATTGAGACGTGATCTGAATAGTGGAAAATGTGTCTAAAAATTACTACTTTAATAAAATGTCACAAAGCATATGCTAGTAGAGAGTATTAGATACGAGTATTACTAACAGTAAACTATAGGTTCTTTTCACGTTTGAAGTATTTCGACCAGAATTTGAATGCCGCAAAAATAGTTCTTGCGTGTTAATTTTAAAAATTAGACATATACAGTATTGTTTCTTTAGATTATATAAAGAACAAGTAATAATTATTTTCTACATATTCTCTGCGTATCTTGAACCGTTTTCGCAGCGCACGCAAAGAAAACCCTCAAAGATAAACAGTTTATCCCGCTTTTTTCCATACTTACTTTGTTCGCTCTATTTGTCACGACCTGATGATACAGTCTAAAGCCGTCCTCGATAAATGCTCTAACCAATACAAAAATAAAATTTGAACCAGTAGTTCCTGAGATTACCGAAAAACAAACTCTACAACTTTATAATGTTAGTATAGATTATTAATTCCTTTTATTTCAGGAACACAGAAACATTACTCCATTTACTGAAAGGCAGTTTGGGAACCGGTATCCTGGCCATGCCCCACGCCTTCTCCAACGCTGGTTACCTGGTCGGCTCAATCGGCACCATTATAATCGGCTTGCTGTGTACATATTGCATCCACGTACTCATCGACTCGTGTTACGTGCTTTGTAAACGGAGGAAAGTCCCATCTATGACGTACACAGCGGTCGCGGAAGCAGCGTTGTCCGAGGGCCCCGATTGGTGCAAAGCGTTTGCCCCGTATGCGGCGTGAGTAACTAATAAATCTATTTACTGAATACTGGGATTTTTCAGCTTCCATCTCTCATCATTCAGCATGCTTGTCTGCCCACTATATCATACAAAAGTCCCAGAGTGACACATAGACTAGACGACTACTCACTTTAACTAAATTTTTTACATAATCTTTTTTACTATTCAATACTTCAGGCGAGTTTCTTGTCAGTTCTACGCTCTTGATTTGAAAACTGGTAGGAAATGTAAATTTATAGTTTTTAGTTTTTAGCTGGTCCTACCCTAGTCATCTACGTAAATAAAAGACTTTTTATATAAAATGCTAAAAAATGTTGTATTTTTTCCAGCCACGTGGTGAACGTCTTCCTCTTAATCTATCAGATCGGTACCTGCTGTGTCTACGTGGTCTTCGTCTCTGAGAACATTCACTTCGTGCTTACCAAATACTTCGACCTGGACGTACGAATGTCCACCGTGATGCTGGCGATTCTATTGCCGTTGATCCTCATTAACTGGCTGCCGAATCTGAAGCTCTTAGCACCATTATCCGCAGCAGCGAACGCAGTGACCATCGTCAGCTTCGGGATCATCCTGTACTACATCTTCAGAGAGATACCAACGCTAGAAGGGAAATCGCCAGCTGGCAAGATGGCTAATTTCCCGCTCTTTTTCGGTACTGTTCTATTCGCTTTGGAGGCCATTGGTGTGGTAAGTATCATTACAAAATGTATGTAGTATATGCTCGTAGCGCACTTAATAAAACACTATTAATCGTTCAAAACGTGAAATGTATTAGTTCACTTTACAAAATTATATTAATCTCACCGCTACGCTGCATCCAAAAAGTCGAGCCGTAGTTAAATATATCGTTATAATTTTAAAACTTAATATTTAAACCGTTAAAAGTTTTTTAAATTTCTTACACATCTTATATTTATATCAATTCTTGGGCCTCTCGGTTAGGATAAGCTACATAGTGACACGCTAACATCGAATTTTGGTTTGAAGACTTGTCGGTCTTTGTCGGTTTTGGTGGTCAAAATGTACACAAAGATATAAATATATATTTTTTGGAGCACTCCCTACCTCGTCGAAAGAGGATAAATAATAAAAGACGTCTGCATCGGTTCACTTACTTGATGGAAATCATTGGTAACTTAAACATCTTTCATAGATCCTACCCCTGGAAAACGAAATGAAGACTCCAAAGGATTTTGTGGGCTCCTTTGGTGTGCTGAACCGAGCTATGATCAGCATTATTATCCTGTACGTGGGAATGGGACTGTTCGGCTACCTTCAGTATGGTGACGAAGCCGCTGGCAGTATAACCCTCAACCTACCGTCCAAAACTGAGACGTAAGTACAAAGATAATCTCTCATTTGGCCTGTATCTTCTGGTTGAATCCTAAAAGTATAATATAGAATATCCAAATTTTGTGTCATCTGTCAATTAAAATTTTAAAAATATATATGTCTTAAGAGACGCATGGAACTCTTTTCGCCCAATTTTCTAACTTTGTTTTGACTTTCAGTCTAGCCAGTGTCGTGCAGTGCCTTTTAGCCTTCGCTATCTTTATAACCCACGGATTGGCCTGCTATGTAGCGATCGACATTCTGTGGAACGAATACATTGGCATTAGACTACTGAACAGCAACCATAGACTGTGTTGGGAGTACGTTTTGAGGACTTGTATCGTACTATTGACGTGTAAGTATTTATTAATAATATTAAAAAATACTATGTGCATAATGTCGGTTTAGTTCATCTATCTCTTGAAATTTACATATTCGCTTGAATTAACATTTTTAACTTGTATAGCCTGGAATCAAGTTGTAATTAGAATTATTAACGAAAACATATACACCAAACTGCAAAAACATATATTTGTGTGTCTTATAAATAAATATATGTATATAGTAAAAAATTGTTGCATTTACAGTCGGTATCGCGGCCGCTGTCCCCGAATTAGACCTATTCATTTCTCTGTTCGGTGCCCTCTGCCTCTCCGCCCTTGGCCTCGCCTTCCCCGCCTTCATCCAGAGCTGTACTTACTGGTACTTCGTGTCCGACCAAGAGAGGATCCGTATGATCATCAAGAACGTCATCGTGGTACTCTTCGGAGCTCTGGGCCTGGTCGTGGGCACTTGGACCTCTCTAGATGGCATCATTCAACGCTTCACCACTCACACGATCCTGAACGCTACCCTCGCCGCTGAAGGTGCTTTACCAAACGACACACTGAGCGTTATGCCGTAAAATGTGTCTAGTGTTACAGACTGTGCCATTACTGAGCCTTCCGTGGCATATTTGAGTACAAGACAACGATTATTTTTCCCATGTAATTGAATTCAACCTGGTATGTATGAAAAGTGTATCAAGCGATCTTTATATACATTTTGTACTTATTATTCTGCTATCCGAAATTATAACGTGCAAGTATACTATTTATAGCATAGTAGGACTAGTACAAATGTGAATTTGCACCTGTAACTTTAAGACAATATCAAATTGAACTCGTTAGTATTAATTAATTTGCTACGAAAACCGTACCTATAGGAGTATCGATGTTCCAATGAACTGGATTCCAATCCATAATTTAGAATAAATTAGTTGGTAAATTTTAATACGTTTACCAAAACAGCGTTAGACTATTTTAATCGTATAATTATATTTTTTGTCAATTTTTTAATAGACATAAGAGAGGGATATTTACTATGTACCTATTGCGTAGACCGTCGTATCTCAAACACGATTCACGACCACTGCTGTCCGGACGATCTGACTATATATATTCGTCCGATCCTTACCTACTCCAGCGTCGCGTTCGCTCACGCCGCCCCCAGTACATTGCACAGGCTCCAGGTGCTTCAGAATCGGTTCACTCGAACCGCCACTGGAGCCATCTGGTGCGTACGGAATGCAAATCTTCACGCCGATCTCGAATTACCGACCCTCAGTCGGTATTTCAAGGAAACGTCCGAACGTTCCTTTAAAAAAGCCGCGACGCATCCGAACCCACTGGTGGCCCGGGCCGCCAACTACACCGTTCCCATTAATACACGCTGGAGAAGGCCGCGTAACGTTCTCACCGACCCCGATGACGACTTAACCAAAGCCGTCGACTTACTTATTGCTATGCGATCAGCCGACACCGGTGCCGATCGCCCGCAAAACCGCCTACGCCGGCGTAGGCGAGGTCATTCGCTTCGCGTACCGCTCACCCGGATGAGCTTCCGTCCAGCTCTTCTAGCTCCCACCCGCATTGCGGCGGTCCAAGCCGAGGCCGATGCCCCCCTCGGGGCACCCTTGGTCTAGCCGCAAACACGGCGAGCGCTATCGCGCTCGCCCAAAACGCCCGGTTAGTATTCGTGGCTCCTTAGGAACACAATACGTAAGAGTCCAATCAACAAAAAAAAAAAAAGATCTGACTATAACAAACTAGTAGAATTCTCATTCTTCTACGGTGTGAAAAGTTAAAATTTAAAACATTACGTTAAGAGAAATTAATTACAATCAGTTGAAACGATTTTGCCTTGCCGCGACGAAAATTGTTGAGAATCCACGGTCTAAGCTCATGAACAGCTATTGAATTTAGACAGAGAGTATAAACTGGGGGTTAAAAGGTAAGAATTCAAAGTTGCCAACGATTCGTTCACCTTTGAATTAGCAATAATATCGACAGTATTATTTTAAAATTAATGATAGAGCGACTAATAGAATATTACCTAGCAACCGAGGCACGTGTTAAAGGTAAACACGCTTGTTGAGATTAGTTTTTAAGTTGTAATTCATGCTATAACAGTGAGACTCGTTAGTGAATGTGGCATTTTGTAAATGTAAATTTACCAATAGACAAAATTACTAAAGGACGAATAAAATGAGAGACTGCTTTAATGATACGCAAAAGCGAGTTTCTCGTCAGATAGAGATATAATTTCTCTAAAAGACGTATCGTGTGAGAATATTCATTAAAGAAGTTCTATGAAAGAAAAACGTATACTTTAAAACATCGATAATTATCAATTATAGTGTTTTATACATGAATTTTTCCGTGCAGTAAATTAAAAACGTCACATTTGACGCGCTAGTGAGAATCTTTGCCCCGCCAACAAGAATTACCAATTTTATTTCGTTGGTGTCTTTATGCTATTATATCTAATCTGTTATTTGGACATAGAACTATATATAATCTGTACCTCGCCAAAATTGTTACAGACAATATTGTCGTGACCGGATACCTCATCCTTGAATTCTTTATTCATCGCTAAATGAAAAGAACATCTTTTAGGCTTATACTTTTCTGTAAATACGTTTCTTCGTCTTGGATTCGATATTCGGGGAATCGCGATAAGTCCATTGGTCTATCGATAGATTCCGGGGTTCAATTTCTGTCTGGATTTCCGTATATCCAAAGCTCAAATAGGCCAACAGCACATCTTATTACAGTGAACCCCACGCCTGTCTGTCCCTCCTCTATCATAAAAAATAATACTGTTAGTACTGTTTGCCGTTGGAATTGCATTTTTATTATAGCCTAGCGTATTTGCTACAGAGCCGGGTATACACGATGCTTTTGAGTATCTCAAAAGTCACAGTGACGTCGAAAAGAAATATTTAGTTTCCGTATTACCAACGAAATTAATTTTAATTCGTATAATATTGAAATAAGAATTTGGAAGAGTTTATTCTTTATCCGGTCATGTCAAATAATCTGTGATGACGATAGTTAATATATTTATGAGTAAGATAAATTTGTTAGTTGTATGATGCGGTTCGCATCAGTGATATTGTGCTCAGAACAGCTGTATGTAACAGGGGTATGATCCCGAATAAAATTTCCATAATTAGCCCTGCGTTTTATTTCAACCCCCAAAATGTTCACCATTGTGGGATTTCAATTGTATCTTTTAATTTGTAAGCTATCTACAATAGTATTATAAAGGGGAAAGATTTGTATTTTTGTATGTAACGGTTAAACTCAAAAAGTACTGGACCGATTTCAATAATTCTTTTTTCATTAGAAAGCTACATAATCACTGAGTAACATAGGCTATATTTAGTACTAGATTACCTTAGAAATCTTTAGAAATCCCTGTTAAAACCAACGGAAGGTGTAAAAATATCTATCTACAAAAACCGTAGCGAGACCATATATCTAACTATTGTAGTTAGGTCACTATAACTACTTTTTTACATTTAACATATTGATAGAAATGCCGATCAAAATCAGACCCTGTTATATTTAATATTCGATACTGTCTCAATAGCCGATGATTACTTTTTTAATTGTTGAAATCGGACATTCCATTCAAAAGATATAAGATAAAGAAGCCGAGAAGGGCCGCTAGTAATTTATAAAGCTGAAGAGTTTCTTCCGAAAAATAAATAAAATGATGCTAAAATAACGATCCTCATCCATCGCGGACGAGGTCGCTGACACAGCTAGTAAATTATATATGAACTAAAAAAATAACATTAACACAGCTTTCACAGTGGAAAACTGTAATATATTTTTATATAAATTGAAAAGGCTTGACACGGGCGGGACTTGAACCCGCTTTCAGAGTTCCGTGCTGCTTCTCATCATATTACTCAAAAAGGGTACGATTCGAGATCCATTTTATTTTTATGTGTGTCAACGAAACTATCGACATACAAATATAGACTAAAGCAATTTCAGAGATTCGCAAAAGGATCATTATTCGAAACAGCAATAAAACGACAAATTAATGAGAATTATTATTATTTGTTAAATTCTACATGCAACTTAACATGCAACATACAATAACTTTGCTTGTACTCAGCAAGCAAGTGATGCATCAATTATAATTATAACTATAATACTCTAGGACGTAGGTAAATTCATAAAAAAATAAAATCACAATTCCATATTAACTTGAGCAGCTATAACAATTCACAACGCGTTACAATAAACAATAATAATAAAAAATAACAAAATCCAAAATCACAGAGTAATATCAGGTACAATTATCACAGATTATAAGAATGTGAAACCTTGAAATAATGATACGATGAAGCGGTGAGGAATGCTCAAACAACCATTTTTAACCAACCATTGAATTGCCAGAATAAATTTTGTAATCATTTACCTAAATAAATGCATAAATAATAATTAACAAATTTCCTCCTAAAAGTTGCAATGCCTCACACCTCTATCTATATTCTGAAGACGTTTTTGGTGTAAAGTGATATGATAGCATTGAGGTACATATTGGATAAATGGGGAAGAGCGAATTTAATACATAAAGTATATTTCACAGACACGTATATTTTTTTTTACTTTGTAATTTCTATAGTGAGTATTCTTCTTAGGAGGATATATATAAATATTTTTTTGGTTGATATAAGAAAAATGTGAAACCACGCATATCACCAAACAAAAACACTATGCTAAGTAGGAAATTCATGATATTTTCAGCCTCATTTCAGTCTCAAGATTTTTTCATTATATTTAAATCACAATAAAATGGCACTGACCTCAGTACCTGTACAGGGTTCCTACTTTTCACCGGCGTCGTATCCCGGGAGAAACATCTTCAACGCATTCTTCAGTTCGTCGTTCAGGGTCAATTCCGCGTCGGAGATGTTTTTTCTACACCGTGGACATTGTCGCGAAGACTTTAAAGCGACTTTCAAGCAAACCTGAAGTAAGACGAAATTTAAATAAAATATTTCGATCGGTTTAAAACGCGTAATATATTAGTTAACTTAATTCATTTTAACTACGACGTTTCGGATGTTTTGCAGCAGCCGTGGTCACGGCGTCTGAAGATGGAGGGTGCCCCTAATGCCAAAGTCAAATTTGGTACGCTAGCGCCATCTGTTTCGTCGTGATATTCTGCTGAATGAGTTTCATCTTCTACTTACTTACTAAGTAGAAGATGAAATTAATTAAAAATAACCTAACTAGTATATTTCTCGTTAAAAATGCTTTCGTTTAAAGTTCGAAATATTAGAATTATTTAATTTAAACCTTTTATTGTGAATACTGTTTTTAAATGTCATTTAAACTCACCATACAAAGTTGTGGAAACAGGGCGTGGTGACCGGGGTTTGAACGACACCTTGGCACATTATACAGAGAAACTCTTGCTTTATGTGTTCTATAAATTCCTGGAAAATTTTTGTATTGTATATTATCAGCCTTTTAATAGTTCCCACAGCTGGGACGAGAGCCTTCTAAGAGCCTATGCCCAAACTAGGCAAATAAATGCTAAAAATCTATGCTGCTACCAGGGTACAGTACAAAGTTGCTTGAATATTGAATATGATCAACTATATGTTTTTCACTGACATCAAGAATCTATCAATACAATCAGCCCAAAGTTTGCAATTCAAGGCATGTATAAATTTGTTATCTTCTAAGCTATAAAACAAATTTTCTTTTCTCTCTTCATACACTAAAAAAGATATAAATGGTTAGTTCTACATAAAAAGCTATATAAGTGAGCATCCATCTGGTGGGGAGGAAGAGCTAGAGATGAAATGGGCAAGAGGGAGGAATGAAATAGAGGTAAACTGGAGTGAAAACTTTGTTTTTTTATATTCATCAATTTACATAAGCAGGGATTAGACTCATAGAACTACACAATTGTCTCGTGTCCAGCCCAAATATATATATTGATGGTATTAAAAAAATCATACATACAATTTTATCCTCCTATTAATAACCCATATTTTTTAAAAGTTGTTTTAGTAATTTAATCAATTTATATATATACTTTAATATATAATAGTATAATTTACTACGATACGATAAATTACTATTTAGTAGATTATGCGTATTAAAAAATTCTAAGTCTACCTCGTCTCCTTTTCGGCATCATTATAGTATCGTCGTCATCCGAAACAGTTATTGGCGAGTCATTTTTCCTCTTATTTCCTTTTTTTAAAGTAGCACTATTCGTTTCTTTTTCTGTCCTCTTTTTCGGGGCCACGACCTCTTTCTCGGCCCGTGCTTCTTGAGAACCATCTGGCCACTGTGGAGATAGAAATATAAATATTTCACAGTCAAATAGAAATGCCACGCGATAATATACTATTATACTACCCGGCATTATACTATAAGATTTAAAACGCGAACCAAACTCTGTGAGCGCTGTCTAACTGACAAACGTTTTGCTGAAAATCAGTGCTGTAGCATAACTGAGCTTCAACTCATGCTGACGCAAGACGATTTGTATTGATTGTTTGGCAAATAAAGAGATTTATTTTTATATTAATATTGAACCTATTACATGTTTTATAATCTTATTTATAATACTAACAATGACGGGAAACTGTTTCGCTTCGGGTTCCCATGGCGCGGGATTAGGATCGTCTCTTCGCAATAAGTACTTCCACACGTTATACCCCGAGAGCCCCTTTTCGGGGTAGTACTTTACGACCTTGTAGACGCCGTCGTATCTGAAACACGAATTCCAATTTTAAATCGAGACTTCGCTTTACGTAATATTATGTATGCTTTACGGAACAGAATGATGTAGGTTGTGGAATGAGCTTTTTCCCGCTTCCGACGTCACAAGAAGCTCGAGCTCAAAGACTCCGCTGAACCAGCCACCTCGAAAGAATGTAAGAACAAGGCTGCTACCGCTGGAAAGGCGCCGTGGGCCTAGACCTGGTGTGCATGATGGCATGAACTACAATTTTTCTAACCGATATCCCTCTTTGGGAGCGTATGTGGGGAAACGCTTTGGCATCCTATAGGATCTGACGATACGAACTGGCAATCCACTCTTCCAAGCGTCACCAGCGTCGGCGCCGTCTTCGTTTAAAGGGTTCACTGCGCAATTTCTCGCTAAAGCCCTGTAAACCAGGATTCCCATTGTTTTAAACTATTATCACACCAGCTAAATTATACTAATTATAGGAATAGGGCCACACATAGGGTATTTCACTTTTTATGTTAAATTGTTATATTATAAAGAAAATGTTATTCGATCCAGACCTCAACTAAAGTTATATGTGAAAAGATTGTCAAGAGTCTACTATATGCAAATGTGTTTGCGATTAGATTTTTACAAATGATACCCACATATTCGGTCCCGTAAGCGTCTGGTCACGGGACAAATATCGGCCTCCGCTGCCATTGTATGTGAATTCATAGCCGTTGTCGTACCCGTCTTTATATAGACCTGTGACATCGATTATTGTTACAATTAGTGCAATGGAACGCAATCATTTTATAGTTCGTTATTCTGGCACTCGTGGCGCTGGTCTCTCTTCTTTAGATTCAACCGCTTAAGGATTTTAGAAGAGTCGTCCGGCCCGAGTCGTAATTTTTTTCAATTTATTTCAAATGTTTATAAGCCTTTGTTAAAGATATTCTTTAGAATTGTGAAAAAAAAACTACGTCTGGAAATCCCGATATTAAATGGGTGGCAGGAATATCGAAACAAACGAAGGCCGTGAGGTTGTCTGTCCTTCTCTTCATATACTGTGCACGAACCTCCAAGAACAATACTGTAAGCGCCGTCAAGTGAACGCCCGTGGAATCCCGAGACCGGTAGCCTGTGTACTCCTGCCTTTGATAACTAAAATAATGTAAAAAAAATTATGATGATTAAATTAATGAATATTATAACAAGTAAATATTCTATATAGGACAGAAGGTAAATAATAATAAACCTCTATTTGGCATTCATTTAGTACAATGTTAAAAATAAATAAATATAATTACAATACAATAATTAATACAAAAAGATGAAATTTTGTGTAGAGAAAAGCGATGCAAAAGGGTCTTGCGTCAGCATAAGCTGCAGCACGGTTATGCTACAACACTGATTTTCGGCAAAACCCTACTGTTCGTCCGTTAGACAGTGCTCATACAACCATTTGATATTTTAAATAACAGTGAATTGCGAGGATACATTAAGTAATGTAGATTAGTAACTAACTATTGCAATTATTGGCGTCAATAGACGGGTGAAATTCTTAGGCCCAGCGGCAAGGTTATCATAGAAAAGATGCTGGTATCGTTTTTGGAATCCAGAGGCATACAAATTGACAATAATTAAGAACACTGCAATTTCCGAACAAGCAGAGTTAAAAGTACCGTTTCTTTCATGGGGCTTGAGGAGGACATGTGTCTGAATCCGTTTCACTGATTGGCTTTACGCAAGTACTGTAACGGCCAGTCCCAATAACGTAGTGTCAGTCAATGATGGATAGCATCCCCGATAAACAGTAAAAGTTAAAGTAGCTGTAACTGGTGTTTCAATATTATTTTTTGACGCGCCTATCAAAGATTAAATGTAAATACAGAGGCTGTCATAGGCTTTCCCTCTCAAACGTCCCGTTTTACACGTTCTACTAATAACAATGATGTTTCTAAATAGCGATAATAATTAATGAATAAATATTCTAATATAATTTATTTATCAAATAATCTAAATATGATTTTGTGAGCCTTATAAAGAATATTTTAAATTAAAAATGACATATATAATACTAATTCGTATCATTTTTTATTTCTTAGTGATTGACTTTGCTTGTAATGGATTTTTAGGCTTGTCTTATGCTGTCAAAGCGACGGTCCTATGTGTCTGTGTAAAATTTTAATGTTGTGTTTATATTTTTTTGTAAATTGAAACTGAAAAAATAAAAGGTCTTCAATTAAAATTGTAAGTGTTGTAGTTTCACTATAGTTCCGCGTGGAAGCTTCGGCTCGTGGGAGGGAGGGCGGAGCAGGGATATTTATATATATTTATTAAAACACACCCACTTAAACTTTTGCACTGTTGATATAATTTTGTATAATAAACGTACAAAAGCCTCGACAAATCTTTGAATAAAAGCAAAGCAAATGAGTAAAGATGAAATGGTGTTTTTCTAGATACGTTAATTGCTAAGCTTGCAGTCATTCAAACGCTACAAACTCACCGATCGACAAGTTAAAGAAGGAAGCTTGGCATCATTGGAAGGAAGCATCTCACGTGAATTCGGTGCTGAAGTGCGCCGTTCTGAGCAATTGCGCTTAAAATGGGGGGAAAAGCTGCTAGAAGACTTTTTAAACCTACGCATTTTTTTTTTCATTCGAACACACTAATCTCAGTGCGCTGAAACAGACAAACAAATTCTTCAGCTTTTTAACAATAGTATAGATTAGAATGAGGATGAGATAGTATAGATTAGAATGAGGATTTTAACAATAGTATAGATTAGAATTACATCAGCTGTAATACGGCTTGCAGATAATTTAGATAGTCCAATGAAATCTAACACCGATTAAAAAGAACGGAAACTCAACTATTCCTAAACAGTAAAAAATCTTTTTAAATAGTCTTAAATATACAACAATAAACTTGACCTCGAATATTTCAGCGTCACTTTCATCACTAAACAATTTCATTTTTTCTTACGTTTAATATAAAAAGCAATGCAAGAAATATTCAGAAGCTATTAACGCATTTCGTAATCTTTCGGAAATCCGTCAAAATCGGCGGGTTGCCAAATCTGTAACAGTTTGTCGCCATTGTAAACAATAGTTACCAGTCAAAGTGTTATTGAAACGCCTAAATTCTATTTTGTATGAACCTATCAATGATAAGAAGTTGTCCCTCTCAACAGTCGGTTGCAACCAATTGTTGAAATGTCAATCTATCTGTGAATATTGAAACGCAAAACTTCAAGAATGTTAGTTGAATATTGGGACCGGCCATAAGTTGACCAGACTACTATTGCCTTCCCGAGATTCAAACCCAAGACATCCGCTCTTACCGCCAGGCTAGGCACCATGTTTACCCATTTAGCGATAGAGGCGGTAAGGTATTGACTAACTACTTTAAAGAAATCGCGTCAAATAAAAGAATCTATACTAATATTATAAAACTGAAGATTTTGTATCTTCGAACGCATTAATGTTAGTAACTACTGGTTCGAATGGAACAATTCGTTTTGTGTTGGTTGGACCATTTATCGAGAAAGGCTTTTAGGCATCATAAGTCAGGGTGCGACCAATAGGAGTGAAGTAAAAGGAAATCCAAGAGGGCTTCCGTTGCTTGCGCCGCGAAAACGGACGAGAGACCAAACAATGATTTTTCTTTAAATTATCTTTAAAAATGTCCGCTACAATATATATATATATTTATTTTTTAAGGTAAACTTGAACAAACTTAAACAAGAATGACGGGACACGGACGATGTCGCGGGCTACAGCTAGTGGTTTGTAAAATGTAATACGCTATAACTTACTTGATCTCTATATTTCCAACACATTCCAACTTCGATTCCCGGTATGGGACCGAAGTGGTTCAGAGGCACTGAGCACGTTTTTCTTATATCTGGAGGAGTAAATAATCATAAGATAATAATCTAATGTTATTAACTAAATATTATTAAACAAGTTTAAATTATGTCACTTACAATTCTGATTCCTAAGACGAAACATTTATTGAGGAAGGCTTGGCTAAAAATATTTCATTGTTTAAATTACAAGCTGATTTAAGATTTACCTTTATATACAACCTCATTTTCTCTTGTCTTTGACGAACTGTCTTCATTTACAATATCACATTCATTGGTGATTAAATCCAGATTCAAGCTGCAAATTTGAATAGCTCTTATTTATGCTAACAATGAGGTTACTACGTTACATCTCTATGTGCGATGATGAGTGACAAACACTTGCATGTAAGATGATTTAAGTAAGCAATTCATGGGTTCTTTCATGCTTTTTACAAACCAAACAGAAATAAATTGTGTAAGGCTTTCACTGCCATCATTCAGCTTATCATTGTCTATCGGGCTGTTCACCAGGAGATGTTAACTTCTTGATTGCCTGAAGAAATTTACAACACCACAAATAATTCTTTGAGCAATCGAGGAGTTAACATCTCCTGGTGAACAGCCCGATAGACAATGATAAGCTGAACGATGGCAGTGAAAGCCTTACACAATTTATTTCTGTTTGGCGAAACGTCGAGAACCTCTTCTCTCTCACGTCGGCCGAACAGCCTGAAAGACAATGATATGCCAAACCAAACAGAGTTTATTGTATACTAGGTTACGTTTTTAGTGATTGGAAAGGAAATTTATTTTCTGTAAATCTGTGATGCAAAGCTTAAATACAGATAGCGAGCAAGCAATGTACTTACTAATTTTCCATCATAGAAAAGACGTTGAAACTGCAAACTTTTCAAAAATTATTTCACGAAATTGATCTATCCGATCTTCCGATATATCCACACGGAATAATAATATGCCAATAATATTAACAAATGGACTTTGTATCTTTGATTGCACAAATTTATGATCACAATTATTAATTGATATGATGTGAAATTTAAGCTCATCTCTTTGCAAAAAGCAACGGCTGTAAATTTTAATTTAAAGTACATTGTCACTGTCTTGTCAGTTTTTTTACTAGATTTACATGAAATGTTGTCTTTTTGATGGAGTATATGTTGATATTGGCTGGCAGCATTTGAGTTGGAAAAATGTTTTATTACCTATTTGAAATTTACAGGATATAAATGTAAAATGTAAATAGTTTTAGGTTAAAAACCACTTCTCTTCTTGACACGCTGTGTGAAACATGCTAGGGTTTAATAATTGTTAGTACTTAGTTAGTTAAATAATTGATTCCGCGCCTGGCAACACTACCGATTAGTCAGCTGATATTTTGCCCAATTTAATTTAATTATTATTTACTAAAATTTCCGCTTTTTGTTCATAAAAATACCAATACCGTCAAACAAGAATAGAAAAATAAGTGTTCAGTAATAAATTATACAGTGTTTTTAGTGTAAAAGTCGTGAAACCGCTCTGCTCAGTTCAGAGTGCCCAGAAACAGATCTTATACATGGAAGAAAGCGCGCAACAAGTATCTGCCCGTGAAATGAGCTAATGAGTAGTGCCCCCCTAGTTAAATCCTTCTGCAAATGTCCCAAACCTAGACTTGTCGACTATAGACCTTACAAGTAATAGTTCATACCAACCAGTCAAGTCAGTTTTATATTGTAGTAAGAATAAACTAAAAAAAATACCTCAACATTAATAAATTCATCAAACGGTCAAAAAATTAAGAAGTGTAAAATCTAATTTAGAATTAAAATTAAGAGAGCTAGCTAGATCGACAATGTTAGACCTAAACAATGTCATTTAAAATACTACACTGACACACAGCATTTAGAGTAAAAAATCCAAAGTTTGCAATTTGAACTACAATATGTAACAAAACATATGGCAGGTCCCTTCATTGATAAATCATAATTCATTTAACTGTTCAAATACCTCACAGTCAGTGGAGGAACAGGGTGAACCGATTCCCCTGAATCCCCAAACTTCTACGACATGTGAGGAAATTATGTGACAGTGTAAATAGTTTGAATCGGTGTAAATTAATTGTATTTAGTGATGACATCGGTACTGATATCTGACAAACCAATTAAATACAAATTCTACACAATAATTAATAATAGCTATCCTGGTGCAACTTTATGTGAAATTACGCAAAAGATAATAGATTATGGATTTGAATCCAACAGTAAAATAATTATTTCCTGTGGGAACTGAGGAAAATAAATTAACATAAACTATCTGACTACTTTGACAAGATAATCAATTTACATGTTAAGCACTTGGTAATGTTTTCACTCCCGTACTTAAAAAGTGTCAGACGTGGAAAATTTCTCATATGTAAGTAATGAGTAAATACAACAAAAAACTGTAATAGATTTTAATTTTGTTAAAAATCACAGAATTACATACAATATGTATATAGATAGACATGGACAGGTTATACAGTATGGATACAATTGAGCATCCTGGTAGTTATTATCTACCGAGTTATTGTACAAGACAAATAGCAAGTTTGCTAGTCTACTTTTTTATTACAACAGCCAAGAATTTGGTTGAACAAACTGTTTTTTTGAGCAGAGTAATTATAGTGTTAGCACTTTGGAATCAGTTTCAAGTAATTTAAAATAGGTTTTAAGACAACAGAGGAAATGTCCTCTAACATGTATGATTTATTTAAACTAAATTCGATTGCAAATAACAGTTATTGTAAAACTAACTCAAGTTAAGTAAATTCAGAAATGTAAATTTTATCAACCGGTGCACGCAAAATATTTACTGTTTAACACGGGACAAAGCGTTAGAGTTGGAAATGAACATGAATTCAGATAATATTGATATTTTGTGTAATACAGAACATTCGCAGTTTTCAAAATGGCTAAGGAGAAGCCTAAAAAACGTAAAATAATCATATGTAGACCGGCAACACGTGACTGCTTGGAACGAATGAGGGTTGGAGTTTGTAACACAATTCCATTTTTAGACACCAATATGCATCCCAATGCAATGTATAAATTATTTGTTGATGCTTTTAATAACGAGTTCAACGCGAGCTAAATAGGACAGAAGAATTTCTAAACTATGTAAAAACCTACTAAAAACTTTCAAAGCAAACTGTCTAATGGCTAAATCAAAATATATAAGTGATAAAATTCGTAATCTATACTAATATTATAAAGAGGAAAACTCAAAAAGTACTGGACCGATTTGAATAATTCTTTTTTCATTAGAAAGCTACATTAACACTGAGTAACATAGGCTATATTTAGTTCTTGATTACTATAGGCATCTATAGAAATTCTTACTAAAATCAACGGAAGGCGTAAAAAAATTAGCCGTAAAATGTCTTTCTTCGCATACGCTGCGAAAAGTATTAATGATAGGACAAAAAGATGTGCGACAATATTATAGAATATATCAATATCTACAAAAAACATCGCGAGAGCATAATATTATGTCTAACTGATGTAGTTACGTCGCTATAACTACTTTTTTACATTTAACAAATTAATACAAATACCGCTCAAAATAAGACCGTGTTATCCATACCATTTATAAATTTTTATCCAAATAAATAATTTAATATTCAAGACTGTCTCAATACCTGATGATTACTTTTTAATTATTGAAGTCGGACATTCCATTCAAAAGATATCATGAAGTTAAAATAAAAATACATACCACATTGAATATTTCGTTTTTTTTTAACAGTTTTATGCTTCACTTAAAAAGTTCTTTTCAGAGCTACCTTGTTTTAGTATTAGGAATCACACTTTGCATAATATTTGTCAAAGTTCTTTTCGGAATTATCTCTTAGAACTTCAATATTGTATTTTGTATTATTATTAGTCTATTCTTAATTTAAAGTCAATATCTAAGAATATTTCCCAAGCGAGATTAGCACAAGTTCGTCGTATTGGAGAGTCTTCTTCTAAAAATGATCGTCTGGAAGGTATTAGAGTGTACACGCCCCAAGCGCGAGCCAGAAATTCTATCGTCAAACGTTCAGGTTTGTCTTGCAGAACAAAATGGAAGATCGTCGCAGTGACTTGAAGGAAATAGAGCTAGGAATTCGCGAACGCGTACACTAACACTGAACGCTCGCAGCGGCTCCTGACACAGCGAGATAGACAACGAGTGATTCATGGTCGCTTTAATTAGCATGCTTATAATTTAAATATCTGTACCTATTTATTTCTACCCGTGCGAAGCCGGGACGGGCCGCTAGTAGTGTAGATAAAGTTAAATCAACATGGACAATTATTAATGCTGTAGTTTCAGTTTTTAAATTTTTCTCTTGTGATTTTACTTTGTTAGTTTACAAAGTAGTAAAGAATCTAAATAATTTTTAAAATTTTAAAGAAAATAAAGTATATTATATTATTGAGAGATAAAATAGGAAATTACAGTTATTGATTGTTACATTCATTTCATACATCTGAAAGTATGAAGTGAGTGTTTAATATACCCCTCCACCTCCAGAGCTCAGCTTCCACGAAATATATATACAACTAACCAACAAGACCTAGTAAGATTTTAGTATATCAAGCAAATTTATGTACTGGAACATATTCTTGTAACAATGGTAGAATCTATTAAATACATATTTGCCAAGTTTCTTATTGTCTTTTATTTTTTAGTAACTAAAACTAACATAGACTGAAATAACAATTAGCCTGTTTGGTATAAATATTACCAAACGGCGGCAAACTTAAATTTTAATAAATGGCCAAGTGGCTTATTTCTAACAGCTGTTGAAGTATCAAAGAAGTGGATCATTATAAATTAACTTTTTCTCAAGCTTAAATAAACTGGAAAACAAATGTTTCAAGCAACCAATTAGCTTTGACTTAATACAGAACTAAGTATATGCAATAAATGTATATTAAAACAATAAGTATTTCAATACAAATAACATTGAATAGCAAGTGCGATTCAAAGTTTTAATAAAAGCCCAATACCATTTTATTCTCTTATCAAACAACCAATTATACCTACTACCAGCATACCCTCCACTTAAGTGGTTGGTTTTCACACCAATTAACAAAACCTAATAATAATTCTAGCCGAGACGTAGACATGTCGCTTTCGTTTTGTTTTCAATTTGTTTTTTTGTATTTTGAATTTTATTTACAATATAATGTTTATGCGCGTCAAGCATCATTGGTAAATTATGTTTAACAGAATTATACAGATATTAAACTTCACCATTAAATATACATTTTAACATTGTCCTGAACCAGCACCCTGTCTTGGTAGCACGTTCATCGCTAGATTGGATGCCAAGTAGAATAAATTCTCTTTACTCCGATGTTGGTGCTTGGAGTGGTAAATTTGTAAGTAATATATTTTACATCTAGGTTCTATTAGACACCAAAAGTCATACGCATACCAAAAATAAACTTCATACCCAAAGACTGGTTGAAGATATAAAAAGGACCACTATTGAGAATATTATATTCTGAACGGATTTCATGTAAATTATTATTTTTTATTATCAGAGACCTGTTATGGATGAAATTGAATCTGATGAAGCACTACGATTTTACCAGTTTCTAAATTATTTAGATGGTGGAAGTTTTGGTACAGGTAAGTGCTTGTTTAAAAAAAACAGAGGTCTGACATGTAGTGTTTGCACGATGGAAATGAAATGCCTTAAACCCATAGATTCTAATTAACATGCGTTCTCTACTATTGAAATACTTATATAGTTGAAAATCATTACATTATTTTTAATATAATTAAGTAAGAATAGATTTCATTTTCATTTAGGCCCTATTGACGAATTTGTTGATGCCATGAACAGATTAGCTACATATATGAAACAGCAGAATAGTCGGGAAACACAGGTGAGAGGAATGCGGGAGCTGGAAGCAATTAATGGAGAAAAAGGTATTTTAGTATAAGATACCTATTGTAACTAAATGTTGAATGTCAAAACACAACACTGGTTTTATTATCTACATATTTTCACTAATCAGGGAACAGCATTAAAACCGTTTTGGAAATAAGCACAGTGATAATGCGTAAGAAAAGAAAGTTTTTCTGCACTGGTGAGGTGAAAGAGCCCATTGTCAACAATAAGATTATTTGTAAAGATCGAATTTTGCTGCCAATTGCTGGTACATCCTGTAGAGATGCTATTATGTATTGGCATCCGGATCTGATGGAGGAGCATTATTGTGTCGGCGCATTGGAGTCTAAAAGTCCTGTCCACATTATGGATATTGAAGGTAATACTATCAAGTTTCCAATGATATATCTCATATATTTTTATGTCTTTATAACAACTAACTTTTGCGATTCAGGTGAAATTTTTTGTAAAGGAGACGATTATTCAAAGAGAGAATATCTTCTTGCTTGTGATTTTTATGAAGACCAAGAGTCTCCAGTGGCACATTTATTACAGTATTATCCAGACCCAGATCCTGAAATAAGCCCTAAGTTGTTTTGAATTATCAACTATTTATGATAAAACACAATTTTTCTGAGCCCTACTTCAATAAAATTAAAAAAAAAGAAATTATTTCATTTTTGCATAAGCAACAACCAAAAATGTTGAACATAGAAAAAAATTACATTGGAGACAATTTACATATTCAACATAAACTTCTGCATAGAATTTAATGGCTCCAATAGATAATAGGTAGATGTTTTATCCTCTTGATGTTATCCCTATTCATTATATAACATATAGGTTTTTTCTATATCCATTTCTTACAGTTATTGTTACGAATCAATTTTTTAATTAAAATACTCATGCATTCAATGTAGCTCAACAAAAGACTCCTATCTCACAGAATGTAGTCATTTACACACATAAAAAAAAGTAGTACACTGAAATGATGTGGTGGCAAATTTAAATAAAAAAAATGTATGAAAAAATTATTTCTCTTTAAATGATCTAAAAAAATGTCAGCGACTGTAAATGTTAAGATTAGCTTGCAAGAGCGACGTTGTAGTAGTTGGGTAATAGCTATAAAATTTATAAAGGTGTGGAGGAAGTTTGCAAAAACTAATTTTAATGTCCAAAATAACTATTTTCACAGATAGTGTTTAATAATTTGGAATTAACGTTGTTTGGTGCTTTTTGTTAAGAAAATAAGATCCAATTATATTAAGAGACACTGAATTTAGACAAGAATGAATCTCATAAAATGATAATATGCTATATATTGTATGCCACACAAAGGACCACTTTTGACTATATTTTCCGTATACAATTTTAAATTATGAAGTAAATCTCTTGAGACTTGTTATTGACGCTTATTTAAGATGTTAATTTTTGTCGCAGACAAGTTTTTGTGATGCACACTATACAACAAAAGAAGACGACATTGTGAGTTTGCTAACACTGCTAAGCAAACCTACTCTAAGAAAAGTTTTAACTTTAAGCCTTAAGCCCTCTGAGTATTTGTATTATGCCCGTTTCTTTCTCGTTTACGCGCCAGAGATAGTGTTACCAGTAGAGGCGGGCGATTATGAGATATACTAACGAAATCATTCGATTATGAAAATGTCTCGAGATATCTCGATTTTAGCGGTTAGTAGTTACTAATATGTACTGGTAAGTACGATTATGAGATATACTATTGAAATCATTCGAATGAAATGTTAGTAGTTACTAATACTAGTAAGAAGAGGTGGGTCGATTATGAGATATACTAATGAAATCATTCGATTATTAAATGTTAGTAGTTACAATAGAGAAGAATAATTAGTAGTTACTAATACTTCTAAGTTAGGACAACGCACTATGGATTCTCGCTCGCTTTCACGTTTAGTGTAATGTCGGATGTGACCTTTTCATTATTTTTTTATTACGAGCATATTTTATTAGAAGACGGTATAATAACAATAAAACTAGAGGAATCTGTAATATTTGTTTACATTTTTTGGCTTTTTATTGTTTTGTATTATAAATAAGTAAATAACTTCTTCTTAGGTGGTCGCGGCAATTTCAGAAATCAGTCAGTCTGAAATAAAACGATTAATGATTAACAATATTTCTTGGATTGAATACAAAGATTCATAGGTTATTTAAATATTTGTTTAGAATTAAAAAAAAACAACAACAAAATTGTCAAGTAATACATGAAGGAAATTATCATTTATTTACTAAAAGGTTATTTAAAACTAAAAGTCATATTTACACTTTTAGACAGAATTAAAAAAGGTAGATCAACTTACTTTTAAATATGATAAATCCACTAAATGGTGAAAAGCGCCACGTCTCACAGTATCGTAGTAAACAAAACAAACTACAGTATATAAAAGTACATATTATTGTTTAAACAACTAAAGTGCACGATTAGTATTACTAATTAGTAACATAATTCGATTATGAAAACAAATTAGTTATTAATCCTATAATCGATTACCAACATTAGTAATACAAAATAAATCGATTATGCCTATCACTCATAATCGCCCACCTCTGATTACCAGATCTATTTTATACGTAGACTATAATATAGAAAAGATTTCGTTAAAATATATTAGGGAGGAAAAGTAGTACTTTATTTATACAAAAAAATCAATAAACTTTAATATGTGAGTATTTTAAAAATTAACACTTATCAACATTAGCGTTAATATTTAAAATGTATTTTTTATAAATTACAGAGTTTACATATATTATGTACATATATTCTTTATTGATATGTATATTATTATTTTACATGTATATTCTTAAATGGGGATGATACAAAGATTGAGGTATAATTTACGTATTGGGAATTTAAATTAATGTCAAATTACTTTACGCAAAAAGTTATCTTCAAACTTTATTTTTAAAATAATATACCTATTAACAGAAGTCTAAGGCAGTGGACGATTTTAGACTGAAATATTTAGATTTAGATATTAACTTTGTATGTTACCAGAGGTTTTTAACGTTAAATGATTGCATTACAATAAGTTATATGTCGCATAATTATAGTCTGTAAACACCAATTATGTTTAGTATAGTAATCTGACTCCTGTCAATGTGACATAAAACGTCATAGATTTCTTTTACTTTTAATTTCTGGAAGCGCGAAAACATGGGATAGACATATTAAATTACATTCAATGGAGTTTTTAAATGGTTTTAATTACAGTAATTAAAAGTCTCCTTAATGAAGACCGTAGGCAACAGCTTCTATGAATAATTGATCTTACGTTGAACTTTGGTTCAACTAACATGATACTTGAATAATTCCAACTGCGGAGTGCGGTGCTTCTTTGGTTACATCTAGTCTTGTGGTCTACATTTTGAAGAGAAAGCGTAAATCCGTTATATATGCATTAAGGTCTAGCTTCTTCTACACATTATAAATCATAAAGCTTTAAAATGGCCGAAGAAAGAGTGAAAATGCGGAAGCAATTGGGATTGTTGGAAGGAGTTGCAATTATTTTAGGAATCATATTCGGAAGTGGTATATTTATTTCGCCTAAGGAGGTGTTGTTGAAAACTGGGTCTGTTTGGGGTGCTTTAACAGTATGGGGTGCGTGTGGTGTTCTAGCAACTCTTGGTGCCATGTCCTATGCTGAATTAGGTTGGTTTAGAATTAAATATATTTGTATTCTTATGAAATGTAACTGTATTAGGACAAATATAAATTTTTAAAAAATACATTTTTCTAGGGACTGCCTTAGCACAGAGTGGAGGCGACTACCACTACATAAATGAGGCTTTTGGACCATTACCAGCCTTTTTGTATCTGTGGGATGCCAACTTAGTATTTGTGTAAGTTTATTGAACAAAAAATGTCACACTCCTTTTATATATTAGTTTTTATTGCTATAAAGTTGTTTGGGTCAGATAGGGCTCAGAAATCTATAACTACTGGCCTTTAAATATAAGTCATGCACTGAAATGTGTGATCCATGCTTCACAGGAGAAAACAGTATTTCACATATGCATAAGATTCCAACTTGCTTAATTAATAAAAACTCTCCTCATTGTTGTTTAACAATTTAGTTTTTATTCTAATTAATTATTTATTAATTAGCACTAATTCAATACTATTAATTTCAGACCCAGTACAAACGCTATAATGTCTGTAACTTTTGCAAACAACCTTCTTGAACCAATATTTCCTAATTGCCCGATAGATCCACTTTGTCAGAAATTAATTGCAGCTGTAACTATTTGTAAGTATAAAATATATTAGTATTGTGTCTTGGAAGGGTCTAGGTTAATTTAAAAAATGGCATGCTTCCACATGACTCTACTCAAGTGGAACTCTGGCAGGTTTGGCTCTCAAGAACGGAATGATAATCTCATAACTAATGTGTCTGTTTTGTTCCTGGCCAATAAATTAAAAGCAACGAATAAATAACCTTAGGTTTTCTTGTTCAATCTGCAAGCTACATTCTGTGACAACTGATGAACAACTTATTTAATTAATGTTTAATTCAAATTCAATTAAGTTTTACGCTTTATTTGGATTTTTAGGTTTTCTTACATTCATAAACACCTATGACGTGAAATTTACTACACGTATTCAGAATGTCTTCATGTTTACAAAAATATCTGCACTTGTAATCATTATACTTGGTGGAATAGTGTGGATGTGTCAAGGTAAATATGGTATAATTTAATTTAGTATTTAAAGGCTTACTTAGTAAATTATTTTAAACAGTTCATATGTCTTATGGACTAAGTTTGTATTGAGGAATATGTATTTACTGCTTTTTATGTTCAATTTCAAGATATGTCTAATCTAACGTCTGACGGTAATGTAGAAACGAATTATTATTTATACGACGGTTACACTTGTAACATGTCATCACAAAAAGAAGTGTAAAACAGTACACTTTAGTACTTACATATATAACAATAAATGGCTTTTAAAACAGTTAGCGGTTAAATACGAAATGTATTAGTTATAGTTACATGATGACAATTTATTTATCTACTCAACGTTTTGTGATGCTTTACAGCTGCTACAATATAAGAGTAGAAAGGTTAATACATTTTATGTTTTAAAATGTTGAAAGTATTTAATTGAAATTTGTGCTACTCTTGTAGACATCACAAGACATAATATAATATGGCTTGTATATAGAAAATCAACGGAATTGAATTATTTTAGGTGGTGTAGAGCACTTTGAGGATGGTTGGGCTGGCACGAAAACCTCTGTTAGCGATTGGTCGGTGGCGTTCTATTCCGGAATATTCTCATACTCGGGATGGTATTACCCCTCTACAAGTTTTTATATCAATGTCTTATGCTATTTCCTTAAAGAAATAAACAAAAAATTTGACATAGACTTGCGTTAAAATCATGTATTTTTTCTATAGAAGCGATTTCTGTAGATCGTCAATAGAATGAATGTTTTATTTCAGGAATTACCTAAATTTCATGACTGAAGAACTTCGAGACCCTTTTGTGAATTTACCTCGAGCTATCTATATTTCACTACCATTGGTTACCGGGATATACCTATTGGCTAATATATCTTATCTTGCTGTTTTGGGGCCAGTTGGTGTTAGGGCCACTGAAGCTATTGCTGTTGTAAGTATATATATGACTAAGTACACAACTATATATACATATATATTGTATATAGTACCATGTCGTATATAGAACTTGTGTCTACACACACTACAACTACAACACTTCTAACATAACACTTTTAACGGTTTAAAACATGTATCGCGTTCTAAAGCGGTAAAAGTGTTTTATTTAAATGTCTACTATTCGCATAACAAAACCTAAATAACTAATTGGTCCCAAATGGGGACTACTAACTAACAAAAAACTATTACAGGATTTTGCAGTGGTAGCTCTGGGGTGGCTGAAATGGGCGATGCCAACGCTCGTTGCTATTGCTATACTGGGCGGGTTGTCTGTGCACATAATGACATCATCACGGATGTGTTTTGCGGGCGCCAGAAACGGGCATATGCCGGAGCTTTTGGCCCACATCAACGTTAAATGCATGTCGCCTCTGCCGTCACTTGTCTTCCTTGTAAGTGTCCCATTGGTATTAAATACACATTAAAATAATTTATTCCACACCAAATAATATTAAATAATACAGAAATTATACAATTACTAGCTGTTATCAACGACTTCATCTGCGTCCCGTCGTTCTTGCATGTTTATCTTAAAAGATAGACATATACTGTCGCGGACATATTTTTAGATCTTTTAAAGAGAAAATCCTTCATTCATATTTTTTGGATATCTTGAACCGTGTTTGTTACCTTCGCAACGGAAACCCATAAGTATGAATAAATTTCTCAGCTTTTCCCATGCTCCTTAGGTCCTATTAGATGTAGCGCGATGTTTAGTAGCCTATAACCTCTCGATAAATGGCTAAAAGCCGAAGTTAAAAATCATTTTCAAATAAGTTTAACTAATATATCGCGTTTTAAACCGTTAAAGTGTTTTATTTAAATGTGTACTACTCGCGTAAACTATAGACAGTATTTAGCCTATATTATGTTTCAATAAAAATGCCATTTTATGCTTCACAAAGAAAATTAAAGCCATTAATTCAAATATTAAGTAGATCTAACCTCTCTCTACCTCTACAACCTCTAAAGTGAAAACTATTAAAATTTTTAAAATACGGTAGCGTTTTCTTAGAAATCAACGATCGGATGACTGAAGTGAACTAAACTTTTATTTGCTATATATTCTAAACTAGCTGGTGCCCGCGACTTCGTCTACGCAGGATTAGGATTACGTTGTATCGCGCATTTAAACTAAATGATGTCTATCATATCATAACATTACATAATTATGTGTAACAGAATTGCTCGCAGAAAGGTAGGTATTTTTCTAGTTACTTGACACTTAATTTCATATTTTAGAGAGATGTAGAAGCGATATTATTGGAAAGTTTAATTGAAATCCATTCAGTAGTTTTTGCGTGAAAGAGTAACAAACATCCATCCACACATACAAACTTTCACGTTTATAATATTAGTAGGATAGTAGGACACAACAGACTATATAAAATAACACGCTTCTCTTCCAGATGCTGATATCCCTGGTAATGCTGATACCCAGTAATCTGACTTCGCTGATAACATACTGTACCGTTGTGGAATCGTTCTTCACGCTTCTCAGTTGCAGCGCTGTCCTCTGGCTGAGGTACAAGAAGCCACATCTAGTTAGACCTATCAAGGTAAGTACTCGAAAACTGGATAGGTCTAAAGATAACAATAAAAAATCTCTAACGCATTGTTATACTTTAACGGTCATAAGTGTTTAAACGGAGAAACATACTAACTAAGTTAATTCCCCCGTGACCACGGCTGCTGCAAAGCCTCCAAAATAGTCGTACTAAAAAAATTAAAAACATTTTAACATTTCGCGTTTTTAACAATTAGAATTGTGTTATATTTAAATAATAGCTCTGTCCGCGTGGAATATTCACTTGAGGTAGAATTTTTAATTATTGGGGCTGTTTATGAATTAACGTAAGGGCGCATTTAAGGCAGCCAATCTATGGTAAGTGCTACTTTGCCGCAACACTCTCTCTCACTTCACTCCTACTCTAACTCCCACTCTCATTCCTACACTCACTCTCACTCCCATGCCTTCTCTTATTCTCTATTCTCACTCTTATTCCCAAAAAGCCAAAGAGAAAAAGTTGCATTATTCTATATTCAAAAACCACAAATTTCCATACAACCCCCCCCCTAACCTCTAACAACCCCCTTTTCGCAATAAAAATGTCTATATATACCCTATGTCCTTTCTCAGGGTCTAGACCATCTGTATACCAAATTTCATTCGAATCCGTCCAGTAATTTTGGCGTGAAAGTCTTAATTTCGCATTTATAATATGTATTAGTAAGGATTATCTACGATTAACAAGCGTCGTTAGCAAAAATTTTGCCTGCCCTAAAAATCTTTGTCGTTCACAATTCGTCGTTCAAAAAAAAACTTAACAGTTTAAAACGCGCAATTTGATCTAACTTATATACAATTTATGTTATGTGCGACGTTTCGGATGCTTTGCAGCAGCCGTGACCACGGGAAGGACTAATATATTCGCGTAAACTACAGACAATACTAAACTGTCTAAATTAAAAATCTCTCAATACAAAACCATTTGGCTACAGCCCGTTTCTGTAGAGCTTAGAGCCTGCGTTATGCACAAGAGGTCCTGGGTTCCATTCCCAGGGAAACAAAAAAAAGTTGTTCCGGTCGGGTAGGGGCAAAAAAGTACAGATCGGTAAAACGGACTCAAAAATGTGTTCGCCCCATGCCCCACGAGAGGGTAACGGGATTTCATACACGGATAAATTAAAAATCGATTGTAAATTGGAAAAAAAATACGAATCGGACAGAACTAACCAATTGAGCTACCATATCATTGGTTAGGCTTCAGAGCAACAGCACGGAACGTGAATTTTTCCAATATCAAATCATCTCAAATCATCAAAAAGTTTTCAACAAATCTTTACAATTCCAGGTCTCGCTATGGATGCCAGTGGTGTTCGTGACTGTACTCCTGATCCTCATGATCGTACCCATAGTCAGTGAACCAGTGGCAGTTATAGCCGGTGCACTAATAACTTTGGCCGGAGTTCCCGTCTACTTCCTCTTGGTTCGTGAACAGCCGAAATATCTAAGCGATATATCCAGTGAGTTTTATACCATCTATACACATATAAAGCTGAGGAGTTTGTCTGACATGGCACGGGGTCCACTTGATGGTAGGTGAGACCCCAGCCTATAGCATCTAACCGAGATCCGCTGTCAACTTATTGTGGCTTCGGGAAAATTCAAATCTACAGACTGAAATGAAACCCGAATAAGCTTCACCGCTTTTTTCATCTGTGGACGGTGGCGGGTACGTTCCGTTCGTACCTTATTCTATGTTTCTAATTTCCCTCGTTTCTATATTTCTAATTCGATTATTAGCCATACATAATAATAATAAATTATAATAAACCCCAGATAAGCATTCATCTTCCTTGATGAATGCCCCAACCAACACAAATTCGATATAGTACTCCCTGAGATTAGCGCGTCAAACAAACGAACGAACTCTTCAGCTTTATAATATTTAGTATAGAGTGAGTCAAATTGCTACTATAGCGATTTCTTCTAGACAACCTTATAAAAAAGAGAAACATTAACCCAATTTCCTTCACAGCTAAATTCACGCACGGATGTCAAAAGCTATTCCTATCAGCGGTTGAAGACAAGGACGAATAATATTTGAAATGTGTGGAAGACGATAAACGACAAGCAATCTTTAAACTTCTGTAACTGTCTGTACGCTTATATTAATAATCCGAATTGAGGCTAGAGCCTGAGTGGCCTAATAATGAAAAACACGATTTTCAATAAGGAGGTAAAAATGCGCAAGTAACTTAGGCGAAAATAAATTTGTGTAAAAATAATGCTTACAATTTTCGGTCACTGTGCTCTTGTAGATTAACATTTTCAGACTATGAAAATATTAATAACTCAAGTAATAAAATTGCAGTTAGGCTACTCTGTCTCTAGCGGCCCAAATTATATTTGCCTACATATTTGTAACTTCCTTATACTGATTTACAGCAGTTTCGCAATCCGCCACTTCTCTCTGATTATTTTTTGATCAAGTCATTTCTACAAAAGCTGCATAATAGTGAATATTTAAAAATATATGCGGTCATTTACAATGAACAATTTTTAAAATACACCTAACAACGCCACGTTTGAATCAAACACTTTTAGCGGTTTGAAACGCGAAATATGTTATTTCTAACTACGAAAAATAAATATTATATTTCCACCGTAAATAAATAAAAACCGTTAAAAGTGTTTTATTTAAACGCGCACCACTCGCGTAATACAATGCTTAGCATTAATCAATCAATGTTTGTCGAAGTCACAAATGATTTTAGTCTGTTTTTTATATAATCCCATTTACTCGTATTAAATATTTGCAAGCAAGCAAAGTATTAGATTGGATCTCAAAATGTGTATTGGATTACACAATTTACATCAGAGGCTAAAAATACTGGAATCTCAATTTATTGAAGTTTATCTTATTTAAGTTCTTATTGGGTTCGATCCCCACCAGGTCCAACATATTTTCAATTTCTCAGAAACATGCTGGACTTCGCCTGGAAATCTGGATATTAAATGGGTGTAGGAATATAGAAATTCCGTTCGTACTAACCACCGTCCACAGATGAAAAAGCCGTGTAGCTTCATCGCGTTTCGGGTTCAGTCTGTGGATTTCAGAATATCCAAAGCCATAATGGGTCGACAGCGCATCTTGGTTAGATGCTATAGGATGCCATCCAGTGAATCCCATGCCATGTCCTCCTCAATCGTTAAAAAAAAGTACTGTGGCATTTAGACTGATTTTTGAGGCTATATTTTAATATTGTATTCATAATAGACACCGATAGAGATAGTACAATATCCATGTATGTTCTGTCTTGCTTCCTCCGATACTGAACGTAATATGAGAGAAAGGGACAGCCTATTCTGTTTATTATAATTACGTATTACTTTTAGAGTTTGTCGTGTTTCACCTTTCAGTGCTTTAACTTTTAGCGGGAATCAAGAAATACTCATTTTTACGGCCTTATTTTTTATTTCGCCTTTTGTTTTTTAAATGCCTATATGCGTTCATTCGTTTAAGGCTTGCTAAAGACAATTGTTCTGACATTTTACGAGTATAGTTCTAAGTTGTCTCTAGCTTGGTATTTATGTAATGAAAGAAAGAGACAAACACGGTATAGCCATCCTCCTCGTACGTAGTAATTTACAGACTACATCAGCAGTACATTGTGGTTTTTCGATTATGTTTTGAGTGAGTTAAACAATTATATTTAGAGTTAGACCTTAATAAAGCTGTATACACACCAATCATGTTGCGTAAGAATTACGAAATGAAAACCGACTTAATTCCGATTTATTACAATTTTAATTAAAATAAATACTTTAGCGGTTTAAAACGAGAAATGTTTCAGTTAACTTGAACTCATAACATTTATTTCTATGTAGTTGCTATTTGGATTAATATCTGGGTCCTTACAGAACTGATTTACGGTGTCCTGTCGTTTTTTGTATCTTTTTTAATATGGGATCCCAGGTGTTGAAACCAGGAGGACTACGACAACATCGATGTTATTAGTTGAAGTTGACTAATACATTTCGCGTTTTAAACCGTTCAGTGTTATTCATATTGTTTATTACTCGCATAAACTATAGACAATACAATAATTTTTATTATACTTGAAATATTGTTTGAAAATTTTTTTGGTTTGTTAGTCTAATGGTCGGCTGTATGTAAGGCAGTGTATGGCTAATAACCAACGGGTCAGGTTCGATGCAGTGATTTTTATCCTGGATTACTTTCTAATTTTTAATTGTTGTGTATAGAATAAGTGCCATTATTGCAATAATAGTCTGATTTGTTAACATTGTATTATAAATAAGTGTTTGAGCCAAACCTTGTTGCTTTTTTAAATAAAGTTTTTCACTTTAAATGTTTGTCAATTACTTGACATCTTTTCCTGAAAGACTACGCCACGGTACATAATATCAGAATGTTCAGCATAATAATAATCTTTCTATAGTAATATATAAAGCTGAAGAGTTTGTTTGTATGTTTGAACGCGCTAATCTCGGGAACTACTGGTTCGAATAGAAGGAATATTTTTGTGTTGGTTAGACCATTTATCGAGGAAGGCCATAGGATGTGGAAATAAGGGGAAAGTTATTTATCTTTGTGTATTCCCGATGCTGCGAAAACGGTTCAAGATACCCAAAAAGTTACCCCCTTTAAATGATCTAAAAATGCGTGTCCATGACACTATATGTCTATCATTAAAGATTAACTTGCAAGAACGACGGGACGCGACCTTCGTGGGCAACAGCTTATATTCATCAAGATGAGGTGGTTTGCAAACACCAATTTTGATGCCTTAAAACACTATTCTACGTGAACGAAGTCACTGACACAGCTAGTCAACAATAAATTATAAATGTTTCATTTCTGTTATAAGTTATCGCTTTGTCAATTAATTTTAACGAACGAGGTTAATAGTCGTTCTTAATTGTATTGTTTACGACTCCAACATTTTTGTACATAGTCGAAGGTATGATGCCGAGATTTTTGTTCGCTCTGTTATGGATATGGAAGGTAAACAAAATGTACCAGTTTTATCTAAGTTAGGTACTAATTCAGTTAGAGGCTCAATATGCCAGGGGGGAACCTGAGAACAGAATTTGTCTGGTTCATAAAATAATTTAAAACCCAGTACTTTATATTATTATGACATGAAATAACTTAAGAATATCTCTGGAAAAAATATCCCATTTTTCCAGGAATCGAACCCGTACCCGTCAACCGTACCGCGTGTAACCGGTAGCAATGCATGAGTTGAAAGCGCTCGATAATAATATCAATTAGTTAAGGTACATTTATCGTAACGATTTAGTGGCTAAAAAATAAGAACCAGACGTTCAAAACCTTTAAACTTTTTAGAGCGATGCATCCCGTTCGCACTACAGTAACATATCGCACGAGTTTACGACACCTGGCGATGAGATTGGACCGATGCTCCCCGATGAGGGCTTCCAGGCCTCGACTGTTATAGCTGGTTTGATGCCCGACTCTTTTGGGGAAATGTTCAATTTTTTGGATGGAGACAGTTTCGGAATTGGTTTGTATGCATCAAGGGTACGCTGAGTGTATTCAAATTAATTAATATTTGGCCTCAACAATTATGTGTGTGCCGGCGACTTCATCCGCGTACAATAGTTCAATTTGAGAATCGAAATTTTGTTTTCGTAAACCTCCCCATCTTTATCAATACTAATATATAATCTTCTAATAAGCTGAAATGTTTGTTCGTTTGAACGCGCTAACCTTAGGAACTACTGGTTCAAATTGACATTATTTGGTTAGAGCATTTATCGAGGAAAGTTATAGGCTTATTTAACGAACGCGCTGCGACGAATAGGAGCGAAGGGGGAAATAACGGGAAAAATTATTAATCCTTGTGGGTTCCCGTTGCGTACGCTGCGAACACGAATCAAGATATCCAAAAGATATGTTACCCCTTCAAATGATCTAGAATAATGTCCGCGACAGTATATATCTATCTTTTAAGATTAACTTGCAAGAACGACGGGACGCGGTTAAAGTCGGTAACAGTAATTCATAAGAGTTGAAAAGTTTGCAAAAACAAATTTGATGCCCAGAATAACTATTATACGTGGACAGCGTCGCTAACACAGCTAGTAAATTATAGCTGTTATCCACCACGTCGTTCGCGTCCAGAGGGTCTTGCAAGTCAATCTTAAAAGATAGACTTATACAGTCGGGGACATTTATTAGATCCTTTAAGGAGGAATCTTTCTTTCATACATATCTTTGGGTATCTTGAACCGTTTTCTAGGTTCCCCCCCCCCTCCCCCTCTTGTTTGTGTAGTTATTAAGCTAATATTTAAGTGATTTTTGCCTTGTGAAACAAGTTTCGAGTTCGAGTTAATGAAAGAGCATTTAAAGATATCCAATAATTATCTAGGTCCACTGCACGAGTTTGTCTACGGTTGGCAAGCAATAGTAAACACCATGAGTATGAAGAATAATGTTGAAGTTCGAAAACGCGCTGGGCTGCAGCGCTTTGCTTTAGCCGGCATCAACGGCATAACTCTTATATCTCACATTGGAGCTACGGAGATCATGATTAACGGAACCAGGACCTATTGTTTCGGCGGTGTCTCCAGGCCTCCCGGCAGGCGAAGTGTCATTTGTAAGGTTTGTACAGGGGGTCGCGCAGAGAAAGGTTTGGTTTGACTTATATGGAGAGACGTGGCTGAGAGCAACAGTACGTGACAGTACTGGCATGGAAGGATATTTAATTTTTACTTTTAGTAAGGTAGATAAGGTATAATGAAAATTACATAGCGTCTTTCTATTGCGTGCTTTGTGTAATCGAATTAAGTCTATAACAGCATTATTCAGTATTCTGCCGTCTTTTAGGTTTAAATCACTATCCTCAACTTACGGCTCTATCATCAGATTTACTCCTAACGATTATCGGAATAACATTAAAGTAGGTACTGTATGAAAAAACTTACAAACGCACTAGTCGTTCCTACGAATTCTACGTTTCCCTCGATTTCTCTCGTCTGTGATCATCACACCATGATTTCCTATTACAGGGAAACTTAACGTATCTACTTTTCAACGGAAAAAAAAACAAACAAAAAAAATCGATTCTTAAATGAGAAAAAATGCACTAACACAAAATGCGAATCGAATAGAGAACCGTTTCTTGAAGTCGACCAATAAAAATAATCCCTTATATTAATTTATAAGTTCTTTTATTTAACTGATTTTAGGGTACAATGTATCAAGAAGGCCGTTTTTCCTGCAAAGTACCTTTTTTAAGGTATCCCACTGTTCTTGGCTACAGATATTGTATAGACAAATATGCAGCAGTCAGTTCGCTTGATGGCACATATAAAAGTGAGTACATACTAGTATCAAGTAAGTTCTGTCTGTAGTTCACACGAGTAGTATACATTTAAATACTTTATTTTTAGGATTTAATTTTAGCATGACATTGTGTTTTTTACTAAGTGAATTTGAGTTAGTTCATAGTTTCATTCACAAAGTGATTTAAGTGTGAATCAATATAAACATTGTGAGAAAATTACGATTTCATGAAAATGATGTGTTTGTTTACCAAAAATGCCAAGTAAGAATAAATACACTACAGTGCAATCTGTTAATTGTGACAATTATTTACAGCGACGTATTGCGCTCGTGGAGAATCCGTGCCCAAATTCCATTACGACTATATCTGTGAACGGAGGGATATTAAGATTAAACGGGTCAACTTGACCGATCCCAATGAAAGATTTAACAGACGGAACCCAGTTGTTAGAAGAGCCGAGTACTATCGAGCTCCTTACGATATACTCAAAGCGTGTCCTGATTGGTGAGATGCAATACTGTTATCTATACTAATATATAAAGATCAAACTCAAACAACCTTTGTGTGTTCCAGATGCGAAAACGGTTACCTAAAACATATGTATGAAAGAATTATTCCTCTTTAAATGATCTAAAAAAGTGTCTGTTGTACTGTATGTCTATCTTTTAAGATTAACTTGCAAGAACGATAGGACGCGACCTACGTCGTAACAGCTTAAGTTTATAAAGTTGCAGAGAAGGCAAAAACAATTTTGGTTGCCCAAAATTACTATTCTACGCTGGGACAGCTAGTACTTATGTTATATGTCCTATTTAGCGCCGTTTTTAATAATCTCTAGTTAAAAATAGCTATCTCTGAATAAAGCTGTTACCTATCTCTCTCTCTCGTGCTCTCTATTCCTAATCATGGATAGCTTTTTCCCTAGTTTATAACTAAAACATAACCTCCTTATTTTCCCGTAGCACATGCCTTAAGCTATGTGCCAATTTTCAGTACACCTAACACTTCGCGTGCGGGCAACGCATTTTTACGTTTTTTTGTAGTGTCACTGGATCGCGGGTCACGTAAAAATTCGTATTTAGTAGATTTATGGTGGATACCCGTTACCCCCTACAAATATACTAGATATGTATAATTATATGTATGTGTAACATTATATGCGTGGTGTTTGCATTGCTAGGCAACGCTTTGCACTTTTTTTCTACAAGTTATGATCGTCGAGTTACTCCAAGAAAGTAATACCAAGTGTTAATGACATAATGGCTTTATTTTACCATATTTTTTAGGTACGGTTGTAATCTAAGGATATCACCAGAATCCCTGCACCAAGCTCTACCCACTGGCTTGCTAGACGCAAATGAAACAGCTTTTGTTGGTCACGGTGGGAAATATTGGTTATCGCTTTATTACACTCAGGTGAAACCCCTAATCTATGAGATTAATTTTTAAATGAATTATCTTACTGTTTGTAAAGTATGTAGCATATTATTTTGTAGAGCATCTTTATAAAAAGTACAAATGCTTAATTATGCCCTAAACTCATTGAGGTTAAAATACACGGGCGTGGCTTGAACCAGCACCTACTACCTAAATTTCAATAATTTATATAATATACCTAACGGATAGTAAAAAAACTGTTAAATATAGATATAACACTGAAATTGTTGTAGACAGAAACAACATATTATAATCGAAAATGCGAGGGCGGGATTCGAACCCGAGGCTAGATCATTCCTGGTGACCCTTAAGATGAGAACAAATAATAATGATTCAAAGAATATCCATATATTACTTGTCATTCAAGCAACATCATATTGTGATTTAAGTGAGTTCGATTCTTGACGAGAGCATTTCTTTTAGTTATCAACATATGCAATATACTTTCAAGCGCACGGAGAATACCCTTGGCAAACAAATAGACCAATTGTGTCAATCGACAAAGGTAAAAGTATTTATTTATAACAGCTTTATTATTTATAATACATACCGCAAAAACAACAAAAGAAAAAAAATACGTACTAACTTATAAATAAAAGGCGGCCTTATCGCTAAGCAGCGATCTCTTCGAGGCACCTGAAGTACAGAAGAAAGGAAAAAAAATGAAAAATTAAGTGGGTAGGTGTAAGGAATAATAAACAAAAAGCAAGGGTACATCGTAAAAGTATACACGGCAAGTTCGATATAAGCTTATTTAAGAGATGGAAAGATAATATTTATGAAGCATAGTCTTAAAAGAGCGGAGACACAGAGCTTTTCCGATATTACTAGGGAGAAAGTTGCACAGGCGGATAGTTTTAACGGTGATAAGTAGTGTGTCATAAATCAGGGCGTGGCATAAATCCTTATCTAGATATGAAGTCATCATAAAAATTATAGGTGGAATTTGGGAGCAGCTACTCAAAGCCAATATTGGTCCTGATATGAATCTCCATTACAACTTGAACGGAATATACAATAGATACCCTGGCGGCGTCATGATGCCTGATATTATGAGGAACGAGGGACAGGTATGGTTACAATAGATTCACCTAATGGAAAAAAACAAGACAGTTCTCATTTGCTGAATTTAAAAACTCACAAACAAATAATATTAGATAATCAAGTTATATATCAAGACGCTAATAAGAACCAAAACTATAGATAAAAAAGTATGTACCTATAAAACTTTACACAGATAATAAAAAGGCTAAGTTAGCGAGATTTATCTGTAGCTGGTAGGTTTTTAATCTATGTAAAATAAATATTCAATTCATATAATCCTTGTTAATAGATAAACATTTTTACCATAATGAATTACCAATATCCGAATCTTTAGGTACAACCAGCTAACTTCAGAACAGAGACCCGCGATGGGGCTCAGGAGGATATTATCCTAAATTCACACTTACCAGGAGATGGATCAGGTGAAACTTATTGGAATTTATTATTTAGAAGCAAAAATTATTTTTATCGTTGTTTACAAATAGTTTGTTTACGCAATTATAAAACGAATATTATTTTCCTTTATGTTTCAGGAGCGGACGGAAGCTATAAATTCATTCATGACTCACAGATTCAAGGAAACTTCGAACACGGAAAAAATCTTAAATAACAGTAAACTGTACATTATCCAATAAAACTGTGACCAGTATTCATTTTTCGTTAACAACTGTATTATATGTAATAAATATTAAAAGTACATGTTATCGCTTAAAAACTTTTTAACCGTTTTCTATGGTTTGGATACTCGTATGGGTTGGATATGACGGGTATTTAACGGAGAAACGAGATAAAGTATACAAACTATAATACGGCCGACGTAACTTGGCAAGTCTGATCTTAGCGCGAAACGCTGCGCAGAAATGTTCCTTAGGATGTTAACGGTGGTAGGAGCGAGGTGCGGACGGATGGAGATTGACTCATTGTCAATACAATCGACCGTTTATTCTATCCAATTTTGTAAACGATTTTTTCGATTTGGATTTTTTTTTAATCGTATGAGATATTGTAGTAAATGGATTTATAAGCACAGTGAATGGTGTTATTAATAAACGATACCATTACTACTTAAAGAAAAATAATTCATTAAGAAAATAAACTTCTAAATTTCTTTGAACGACGTGATTTATTTAAATATGAGTTATCATTTCTATAATTACTATGTTTACATATTTTTTTCCTTTTTTAAAGCTGTTTGTACAAATATATTTCTACGATCCAATTATGTCTATTTCAATAGCAATCCATTAAACGACACTCTCAAGGAACGAGACATCTCAATTTGGTTATTTCGTAAATCTTCGTACATATTCGGTAATGTTCGGTAAACAGTAGTGTGTATCGCTCACTCCTTGGCGTTAATTTCGTTATCTTTGTCTTGACCGCAGTCCGTGAGAAAAATGATTGTTTATTGTTAAATTTAATACTATTATTTGTCTTTTGTTATATTTTTGTTTTGTCTTCTAGGTGAAAGGTATGTTACTTTTGCTTGCTGTAGGTAAAATCTTTCATTTATCTCTGTAACGATAATAAATGCCTGTTACTATTAGTTAGCTAGTTTTTTTGAGTAGAGTACATGCGCCAAAGTTTGTCTAACCTATGTTCAGACTTGTCAAGTTACGTCGGCCGTATTATACCTCGAGAGCGATAGAGACGAGTATATTCGACTTGTTTGAGCACGGTGGGGCATGTCAACGACAGAGTGACACGAGCTATTGCGCGTCGGCGCGATGTTACCTAGTAGGCAACACATACAATTACAAGTCCAATTTATGTTTTAATTGTACTACTAGTCCACGTACGCAAGTGAGTGGTTAGGAAATTTGAAAAATATCCGAAGAGTATAATATTATCTCTTTTGATCACGATTAGCCCTGTCTTTAATTCAAAATTGCCGCGTCTATCGTACGCGCAGGCCACGAACGCATACAGTAGAAAACTTCTTTTCGTAGAATTAAAAATGATAAGTCTATAGCACAAATAAAATAATTTTCAAATTGGACAAAGTTTTGTAGTGGGAACATAACATATAACTTCGCAAATGAAGGAATAAATACTTTTTAATCTGTGGCCTATAGTTTCTAGTTGTCTTGGATAGTCTGTGTCAAATATGTTTTACTGTTATCTATTACTTGACATCTTTCTCTGATCCGTCATCTTTCTTTGTGCAACTTCTTCGGGTCGCTCGTGTAAAATCCCGTTAATTCGTTTTAACAAAGGCTGTAACAATTTGCGACGGCACAGTGATTAATGTACGACACGAAAGGGGACGCTGGCGGTCGTGTGCTCCTAGCATCCTGTTAAAATAAAATATTGTGATTGTAATTTATCGATTAACCTTCTACAACATATTGTTTTTATGCTGTTTATTTATTAGAGCTGCTCGGTTACCCGTGAGCCAGCAGCCGAATTTTCCTGTGGAGGTGCATCTCAAGGTATGTAAGGTTCTGGCGTCGCTAAATGGTGTGATAGAATGACTTTAAACAGTGTTAATTGCTATCGAACGCGATCTAAAAATATCCCGAGGATTTTATTAGCCATATAAGATTCGGGACATTTCACATCGCGGCATTGCGAAAAACGAATTTACCAAGCGATCACTGTTCACTTGGGCATGTCGCGATTAAAACGGTGCTACAGGCAAAAACGACGATGGCTCTTTATCAGACACAGAATCTAGTTCACTATTGTTTATACTTAATATAGCCGGAAGAGCGCGTACTTTTCATATAGCTCCCAAAGTATGACCTAAACCAGTTTTTTCCAGTGTCTGCTTGTCTTTATTTATTGCAAACAATATAAAGGGGACAGACGATTAAAGCAATTTAGAGTTGAACTTTTATAATAGAAACTAAGTAATAAACACTGCAATTTAGCAATTGAGAGGCAGGGAACAGTTCAGTTTGATAGATTACAATTGTTTTGTAGTTGTGGGCTTCGTTGACTACAAGTGTTCATTTACTCATTCTAAATAGCCTTAAATATCATAGTTTTATGTAATGTATTATTATAAGACCATATGTTCACTACTGTTTTATTTAAAAAGATAGAAATAATGTGACCAGTGTAGGTGTCAAAGTTATAAACAAACAGAACCAGACTTATTCCATTTGTGATTTCTTTCATGGTTTTACTCGTCCACAGTAACAAATAATTTAATGAAAATCCATCCCTGAACTAACAATGGGTCCAACACCCTCCAAATAAATTGAAGTGTTCTGTTTTTAGACTCCCATGAGTTAGTATACCAGTCTGAATCCGTAGACGTTGCTGGAAGTAGCTTTTTTAATCGAAGCCGGACCTACAGTATAACATGACATCTAATATCTGAACCTTAAAAACTTATCCCATTTGCAGACTGAGCCGTGTCTTGGGGAAAAATTAACCCGGGCACTACGGTGGCCCCAGAAACACCCGCCTCGGCATCCCAACCACCAGGTAAATATGAAATAATGTAATAGTGCAATTTGTAAGAAAAAAAATCGTCCCGTGAACAATATTTCACAACAACATAATCTGTATTCATACACTATGCATATTTGTTCAAGTTTTTTTATAACATTTTTGTATTTACCTATCCAGACCAATGCACGGAGTACAATAGAAAACCTATTATTGTACATTAATTGTAAACATTGAAATAATTAAAAAATATATGTCTTTATGGTATGTGTAAGCAAGTTGTCTAAATGAAATCATGTTGAAGGAAGGGGAAGGAAGGGGGCAGTGAGCATCCATTTGTCCACCTAAAGCACAAGCAATGTTATATTTATTGTATGCCAGGTGTTCTGCCCAAAATTGTGACCGTTTAGTACCTGTGAATCTATCGATTGGTATTTAAAATTGATATTTCATTCACAATGCATACATATTTTGTGGCCTTAAATAACATTAGCTATATGTATTTTACAGTATACATCAATTCTTATATTTCCTTTCTATTCATCAATACTAATATATAAGGCTGAAACCTTGTTTGTTAGACGGTTGAATATATACAAACAATATGTATGCAAGAATGATTTGTCTTTAAATGGTGTAAACAATTTTCGCGACAGTATATATCTATATTTTAAGATTAGCTTGTCGTCGTGGTTATCCGCATACATTTTTAGAGTTGAAAATTGCTGCCCAAAATAACTATTGTATGCGGACGAAGTCGCTGACACAGCTAATACGTTGTTGGATGATTTTGTGTTATAATTTAATACGAAATAAGAACCTTTTGATTTCACTACTATGTTTATTGTTTAGAGAGACTACGTAATCCACACGTTTTAGTCTAAGCGTATAATATCCTAAGTAGAAGCTGTCGAGTTGTTTGTTTAATGATCACTAAATAATAAACAAACAGAGGTACGTTGAAAATGAAGGCCGTGATGTCATTGTTTTTCGATAGCCTCATCCGATACTTGGAGATAAAATATGTTTTAGACTATCTTAATTTCTTAATCTTTATGTAAAAGTGTTCTTGCGCAATTAATAAGTTTTTGATAGATGACGCGTTTAGTATAGGTATCGCTACATAGTGTTAAACAAACCCGCCTTTACTGTCTGTTCCGAAACTACGCAACGGATTTTAATGTCGCTTTTTTTAATAGACAGAGTGATTCAAGAGGAAGTTTTATATGTATAATAACATTCATTGAACAGCGGATAAATACAGTACGTTAAAGAGTACAGAAAACTCCGCGATAGTATATGTTTATGTCTAATGGATATCCCACAATTACACTTATTTATCATTTACTTTTTACGACAAATAATAGATAAGTTTCGAAGCGATTTTTACCAATACAGCATTAACCCTTTTAATACCTTAAATGCATTGTTGATTTAATATAGATCTTTAAGGCTCCTTGACAACATATGATTTAAATGAATATTTTCGAACGTTTGGGGTGGTATCGGCCGGACCAAATCCGGAGCGGGCCGCTATGTTTTTATATACAACATTCAGTTTACTGCAGTGTATTTGGTATCACCATTGCAACCGAGCGAAGCCGGGGCGGGTCGCTAGGTTACTAATATTATAAAGCTGTAGAGTTTTTTGAACGCGCTAATCTCAGGAAATTCCTGTGCGAATTGTTTTTTTGTGTTGGATATACCATCTATTGTGGAAGGCTATAAATATAAAGCAACACGCTACGGCCAATAAGGGCGAAGTAAACAGTGAAAATTGTAGAAAAAGTCGGGGAAAATTATTCATCTTTGTGGGTTTTCGTTACGCGCGCTGAGAAAACGGTCGAAACCGAAAACTATGGACGAAAGTCTTTTTGGTAATTAAATTTGGTCGAAATTATTGCAATACTTCCAATTAATTGTTGGAGTTGTATCAATGTGATAATGTTTATCTTGCAAACGTTTGCTGAATCAGCTAGTTTTTTAATAATTTTTACTACCCACATTTTGTTGCTCATTCGTATACGGTACAGGGTACATTGTGAACAGGCGGATGTATAAATGAGTTTCATTGTTAATTGTTAAAAAAATCAAAAAGCAAATTGTAGAATTAATTTACGCCAACTAAACGTTACGAGATGTATAAATTGTCACACATACTTGAAGAAGTTATGTAAGTGGTTAACTGCTAACAATCAAAGCAATGCTAAGCCGAGCCCATACCTACTAGATATTTCTATTAGCACTTTATGTAATACAGTTGACATTTTCTGCCTTTGTAATAAACTTGCCTTTATATCTTTATATTAATTACAAGCTGTAGCGGCGACTTCGTCCGTGTGGAAAAATAATTTTTGGCTTCAAAATTTGTACTGTCTGTAGTTTACCCAATAGTACACATTTAAATAAAACACTTTAACGGTTTAAAACGCAATACATAAGTTAAACTTATTTAAATATTACTGCGACACAACTACACTATATCGCGTTTTAGACCCGTTAGTGTTTTATTTAAATCAAAATTTGTTTTTGCGAACCTCTTTCTCAGATTTTTATCGTGTCGTTCTTGTAAAATAATCTTAAAAGATAGACATATACTTTCGTTTTGTTACATATTTTTTGGGTATTTCAAACCGGTTTTGGAAACCCACGAAGATATAAAAGTAAAGATGTTTTTTCGTCTCTATTAGTCGCATCTTAATTATTTGTAGCCTAAATAATTCCTAGATAAATAATTTACCAACACAAATATTTTTTTTCAATTCAAACTAGTAATTATTGACATTAGCGCGTGGAAACGAACAAACTCTTTAGCTTTATAATATTAGTATAAGTACATATCTTATAAGATCTTTTGCCCTGTATTGTATTCAAATTCTAAATGTTGCGTAAACACGTGAAAAAAAAACTATGAGATTTGTAATATTAATTCAAGTCCTTTTGTTTAATACATCTGTCATGCGAAATGACAGTCATAGTTTAAACTTAGCGGTAATTAATGGCAAAAAGTGGCAACTCGCACGCACGTACTACGGGTATGTAAATTTGGTTGATGGATGTCTGACAAAGTAAAAATATATCATCAAGGTCTGACGTAAAGATTAACAATAACAAGTCAGCAAGCCATATCATTTACATAAGTCTAAAATATTTACGAAACAAATTATGAAAGGGACTGTTTTTAGCGGGCTAATAATCAACAAGTTGGTTCGATATCCACCAGGTCCACTATGTCTATCATCAATTTATCTAGAATATGACTTGGAAATCTGAATATTGAATGAGTGGCAGGTGGATCGAAAATGCCGTCCGGGTCACGAACCGCTGTCCACGAAAGAAGAAGCCGTGAAGTGTAATCGCGTCTCGGTTCTAGTCTATCGAATGTCCAAAGCCAAAATAGGTCTATTAATGTTATTTCATCTTCATGAACCCCACGCTTATCTGTGGTCCTCTATCATAAATAAATATAAAAATTAATAAAAGTCTCGGAACGTTTAAATGATAAATGTACATTACGACTATGAGTAAATAATTCACTTTTAATATTTTTACACGTTAAGCGATGCGGTGTGACTCCAAATCTAATAAAGGCAGTTGGGGTCAATGATCTTTGACTTACAATTCAAAGTTCTTTGTCTGATAGAACATTTTGTCACGGTAATATCTTTGTGAATGTATATTTAATTATTTCAAATACTTGTGCTCACTGAATTTTAACCGCTAGCGAATAGACTTGTACGCATTTGTATGTTCGGGACATACATAAAATATACGATAGCACATTTTTTTTTTCAATTTCAATCTGTATATTAGGCCGTCCGTTAATTATGATAGATTTAAAACTTGAAGAAATAACCTATTACTAGCTGTGTGCGTAGAAAAGTTAGTTTGGAAATTTAAATTTGTTTTGTAAACCCCCTCCTCATTTTTATAAATTTAATCTGTTACCCACGGTACCCACATATAGTGTCGCAGACATTTTTTTAGATAATTTAAAGAGGAATCATCGTTTAGTAGTTTCGGAGATTAGCGCGTTCAAACAAACAAACAAACAAACTCTTTAGCTTTTATTTATTTATTTATTTTATTTTACACTTTGATACACCAAACAGAACATACAGATACTATGCAATTTATAACTATAGAGTGTACCGGGCGGCCTTATCGCTATAAGCGATCTCCTCCAGGCAACCCGAGTAGAAAGAAACTTAACGATTAATTAAAAACTAAACAGTGTGCAAGAAGTGCGAAACTTACTAATTACTTAAACTAAACAAAATAAACTTAAATTAAATTAAAAATAATAAAAACCCAGCAAAATAAATATTAAAAAAAAAATAGAAAAAGGAAAGTGAAATTTATTAACATGATAAGGACAGTAGATGTTTATATAAAAGACTTTTGAAGGAAATCAAGGAAGGAGCTAATCGGACGGAGTCAGGTAGAGAGTTCCAAAGTTTTGCAGCAGAGATGGAAAAAGAGTGACCAGCAAAGTTCGTAGAGTGACTGGGAATTTCTAGTATAAACCTTTCCGCAGACCGCAGGCCATAGGTGTAACCCAAAAAATTTAAAAGATCGTTTGAGGTATGTAGGAGCACTGGGATTAAAGAGGATAGAGTACAGAAGGTGTAGAGTATGCGAATCACGTCTAAGCCGAATGGGAAGCCAACCAAGCTGCTTACGGTAAGTAGAGATATGATCATATTTACGAAGGCCAAAAATAAACCGGATGCAAAAATTTTGTAAACGGTCGAGCTTGTCAAGTAGATCTTCATTCATGTCCGAGGCGCAAGAGTCAGCGTAATCTAGAAAAGGAAGGAGAAGAGATTGGGCGAGAATAGTTTTGGTAGAGATAGGGAGAAAATTACTTAACCCCCTTAAAACACAAGAAGTGGCATACAATTTGCGACCGACCTCCTTTACATGACAATCCCAAGATAGCGTTTGATCTATAAAGACACCCAGGTTCTTTACGGAGTTATACACACCCAAGGTAACGCCGTCAATGGTTATAGGAGGAAGCATAGTCAAGTCTGGACATGTAATAGGGACTTCCGATAATAATGACTTGGCTCTTGGTGGGATTGATTGTAAGACCAAGATTATGGCTCCAATCAACGACCTTGGCCAATTCACTATTAATTGTCCAAATAGTTGACGGTAGGTTATCAAGGGAGGACTGCGCATAAATTTGAAGGTCATCCGCATAGCAATGGTAGTTAATAGAAAGCCTAGAAGTAAGGGATTTCAAAAAAATAGAAAAAAGGAGAGGCGATAGTACGCCACCCTGAGGAACACCGGCAGTTACTTCACACCATTGTGAAACGGATTCATTTGTCGAAATACGTTGGCGTCTTTCATAGAGATAGCTAGAAAACCTTTGCTTTTGTGTTTAGTATAGATATAAAACCTTAACTCATATTTACTCCAATGTCTATTAATAAAAAGTAAATACTAAAATCTAAAGAGTATTTTTAGATATATTAATGAAGCGAAAAAAATTAAAACATTGGTTTAAGAAATTATTTTTGATTGATTTTAATTATTAGTCTGGAACAATCCGTAACGTACTTGACCATGTAAGTATATTTTTTTATCCCGAAGTAAATTGTATACGTATAAGATTGTAATTTAGAATAAACGCATGGAAAAATTATGGGAAGATTAAAAAACGATCATCTTATTTAAGGAAGAATGATTTTAATTTTGATAGCAATCAGTCGATATGGGCGAATATTTTTTTTTTATTTATTTATCATATCAACATAACAAATACATTTATTTATATATTGATAGCAATAAAAAACCACTAAGGGGTAAACTCATGCCATCGTGAGTTTACATTATATTAAACATCGTGTTAAAATATAATTAAAGAAATACACTTTATTCTCTTTAAAATTTAAAAAATATTATCAAAAAGTGTTTCTCTGTCTGTCGTGATTCTACAGTGTTCCAAAGACAAGAAGACTAAAGCTTTAAAATTGTACGTCCAATTTGTCTATTACGTGTTACATCATGGTGATAAGGCTGCAATTTAATAATCTACTCGACTGCATAGATAACGAAGCACGTACCGTACGGTGGCCTTGAAAAATAAAGCTCAGTGTTATTCATGTTGTCGTGTGGCTGAATTTCAGGTATACACTAAGTAGTTTATAAAAACATATCTTTTAAATAAAACACTAACGGTTTAAAACGCGATATACATTTATAGGTAAACTCATATGAAAATTATTTGAACTACGGCCCGACGTTTCGTATTTAAACCTAATTTTCAAATAAGTTTAACAAATATATATCGTTTTAAGTGAGAGAGAGATATCGTAACTGGAATTTAATATAAAAATATATTTTTGTGGTAATTTTTCACAAAAAATAAATAAATATTATTATATATAATAATAAATAACTATTAATTATTATTACTGTGAACTAAAGGTATTTCAAGGCTTAAGAAAATTTTTTGAGAAAGTTGTTCGTCAATTACGAACAAAAGTCCACTTAAGCTAGTTATGAAAAATATTTTCCATCCTGTTTGTTGAAATCATAACATGTTCGGAAAGCTTATTGATTTTCTGTTCGTACTTCTGTTAAGGAGGAATTCCCCCACCTACTCCCATTTTCTTAGTAATTGTAGTTTTATAGGGGCTGTTTACGCTTGTGTTAACTATAACTTATGGTTATTCATGACCGAAAGTGACTATATCTATAATCTATACCTAATATTGTAAAGCTAAAGAAGTCGTTTGTTTGTTTGTTTGAACGCGCTAATTTCAGGAACAACTAGTTCGAATTAAAGCTTTCATCAAAACTTTAGCTATATAACATCGCACTATGACTAATAGGAGCCAAGGAAATGCGGACAAAGCGGGGAAAATATTAATCCCTGTTGGTTCCCCCATGGGAACGCTGCGAAAAAAGGTTCAAGATACCCAAAAAAATGTGTGTGTGAAATAATTATTTAAAGGCCAGGCCTCGGCAGCGGCTGCTGTAAAGTAGGTACAGACCACCATGCGACAATTAAGGTAGTTTCTCAGCAAACGTTTGCGATTTCAGTGGTTAGATAATAATTATTTTAGAGTGTTCAATGTGAACGTAGTTCAGCCACATATCAAATGCAAAAGTTGGAATTAGTTATGTTGAGAAAAAAAAATTGTTCAAATATGAAATAATAATGTGGTTCTTTAGTTTTTAGGTTCTTGAAGAGGTTCGTTCGTTCTTGCCAAGGTTTGTCGTGGTTTTGTGCATACTGTACTTGCGTTTACAAGCTCGTCGGTAGTTGCTAGTTGTGGCTAGACATTGGAATAAAATAACTTTCGAAATCATTTGTTAAAACGCTAAGCTGTTGTTCCTTTAAAATTATGTACTCCAGTAGTACGGTAGTGTTACCCTAGGTGACTGTCAAAATATTTTACCTTCCACCTAGTCTATCCTCCTTTATAAACTATAAATAAATAAAAACAGATTGTTGACTTTTCGGTGGTTTTGTGCAGTCAGATGAAATGATTATTTATACTTAAAAGAGTAATTAACTAGAATTTTTTTGAAGGCCACATATACAAAGTAGTATTTCCGGAGAGCCTTAGTAATTTGTCGTATCAACGGGACCCGTGTTACCGAGAAACAATATAACACGTTAGACATAGTCGAAACAAGCTCTGATTGTTTATACAATTTAATAAATATAGGATTACTTAGTGAATACTTTGCAGTGCATGCTTCGCTTTCGCTTCGACACATCACGGGATTGCGAAGCAGCCCCCGGATTAATTATTAAAGAACGAAGCGATACATTTCGAATTTGAAGCCCTTGCGCTATTCGGTGTTTATGATTCTCTTCACGTGTAATGTAATAGTAATAGGCGATACTATTATAACGATAATTGCCGTAAATTAAAGCACCACGCGAATGTGTAGCGGTGACGCCGCATTCGTGACGCCACCGAGCCACTAAGATTCGTCTACCAGTTGCGATACATTCGCTAAGCTGCTTCGGTGTCTGTCCCATTTTAAAATCGTCCCATGTCCTTTCGAAGGTGCTTCGGTCATTTGGCTTCGTGCGGCCGTCAAAGTGGTATGATTGAATCTATTAAACACATGCAAATCGACCGTGTAAAAAAAGTTAAACTTTTACTATCCGATTATTACAAGTAAACATAACATAAACACAAACTACCCGCAGTTGTAAAAAAAGTTCACGAGTACCTCTCCATCTACTTGAAATTTTGATTTTATCGGCTTTTGACATTTTCACTATGTTCTTGTGTACTTTTTATCTCGTAGTTGTCATATAAAGCTAAAATAATATCTTTATATTAATCTCGTTAAGAAAAATGGCCTAACGAATACTTGCCTTGTCAACAATCATTAGTAATGCTAATCTAGGATGCTAATTCGTGAACCTTTGAATTATACAATTATAGCAAACGTTTTGTTTATTATAGATGCTGTTGCAGGGGCGTTGGAGATGACGGGCACAGATAATATCCGCTTTAGCGGCCACACCATAGATAAAGCAACGAAGGCAAAGGTCACTTTAGAGAATTTCTATACGAATCTCATTGCACAGCACTATGAGAGGAAGCAGAGGTAATTGTATATGTATAGGTAATATTGTAATGTATATGTAGATTTTTTCTCTATCATATTGGAAATTTATTTATCTATAAATAAATAATTGTACTGCGATGTCACAATATTAGACATATTTTGACTTATACAGCACAAAAGTTTAAGTAGGAGGCAATATCATTTACACGGCATTACATTTTTTATAGTAAGAGATAAGAATAGTTATTTTAAATCTTCTTTAGACAATATTCATTTTAGTAGCCATATTTGCGTAATAATTAACGAGTTGTGGGTTTCTTCCTACCGTGCCCAACCTGTTTCTAGATCATTTTATAAGTTTTCTAACCATAAAAAAAAATCAAGGTGTGGTTGAAATGTCATTGAATTTTTCTTGACGTGTAAATCCGCGGTTTTCGTTTGTTGATTTCTGTTGACTATTTTACATTCCATTATGTGAGTAAAAAGTCCCTAATAAGTTAAGTATTGTTTATAGTTTACGCAAGTAGTGGTATTTAAACAAAATAATTTTATAGGTTTAAAACACGAAAGATATGAGTCGAATTAATTACTTTTACGTCAGATAAACCCTCCGTCTTTAGTCTACCCGCGACCACGACTGGTGCAAAGCATCCGAAACGTCGGGTCGTAGTTTAAATAAATTTCAAATAAGTTTAACCACCATATATCGCGTTAAAAGGTTTTATTTAAATGTGTACTAATCGCGTAAGCTACAGGCAGTATTTAACTTGTACCACGTACTGTCCGAAGTTTCGGATGCCCTGCAGCAATGATAGTTTTAGTTTGATAGTCAAAGGCGTTTGAAAAGCTTAAGTTAACGTGCGAATGGAAAATAATATATATGTTATATATACATATATAACTTTGAATGGTATGATTGCTTGAACACAAGCCGCTCTTGCAGTGTTCAGTGCAGCGCATAATATCGTTTTGGCACAAGCTCTTCTTGGACATTCGCCAATTTTCGCTTTTCCAAGACATAGACTTGAAAACGTGGTTACGTAATTACTGCGGTTATTAGCACCCGGGGATGTTTCATTACCTTCGTGCTAAGACTTGATATATACGGCATGTGATTTTCAATAGCTACAACCTCAGTTTTGAAAATGGAAGAAGAATGTAGCTTCTTTTCTGCCTACCTTCAAATCGCCACCAAAAAATGTTCATATATAAACAGACCACTACTAACGTAAAGTTAATTTTTTGGTTAGGTCTGGCCATAGCTTGGTGTTCCAATCATTGGAATAGTCAATCAGGTGAGCTATAAATGATTGATTGAAATAAATTGGCTGGTTGCAAGCCATATTGTAACTGTTAAATCGAATTTCGTAACGTTAATTTCTTGAGCGGCTAGCTTGGACACGCGGCCGTTCTCGTTAGAAAGCGTATAATAAAGATAATTGACTAATATAGTTTGTGTATACTGCATTACATTTTCGTTTGAAACCTAATACCGACCTCATGTTTTTCGCTTTGTTCGAAATTTGTTGATCCTGACAATTTGTTGCTGACAATACATAGCAATATGTTGTAACTTGTGGAAATGCATAGTCTTACTTTATGCAAATAATCATTTAGTAACGTTAACAGAATCGACATTTAAATTAAAAAACGATGATGAATTCATAAAATTTTACAACACGGGCCGGACTTGAACCGGCGTCCGCGGCGTTCCGTACTGTGTACATGTAAAAAATATTAATGTTTTCAAACGTTAAACTTTGTAATTTTAATATTCAATCTCGTCTAAAGCTGCAAAGCATTGATCTTTAATACGCAAGTGTTAAGGTTGATATTACATTGCGCGAGAGAGATCAATAGGTTGAACAAATTTCAACATTGACGTGAACCTCAATTACAGACTGGAGAAACTTGAGGAATCGCTCAAAGATGAAAGTCTTACCGAGAGCCAGAAACAGGAGAAGCGTCAGCAACACGCGCAGAAGGAGACGGAGTTCCTCAGGCTAAAGCGGTCGAGGCTCGGCGTGGAAGACTTCGAACCACTTAAGGTAACATCTCCCATTAAATAAAACACTTTTAACGGTCACAACGCGAGATACATTGGTTAACTTGCAGGCAGGCATCGGGCCGTAGTTAAAGTAACTTGTGTATTTCGCGTTTTAAACCGTTAAAACTATTGGCGTAAACTATCGATACTCAACTCAATTGTCATATTGATTTGTATGGACAAAAACTTAATAAGTCTGGCTATTCAAATTATAATTTTTGCTCACAAACTATTAATGAAAAACTAACAATTAGCTATTTCAATCATTATTTTGGTTTGCTCTTCCGACATAGGCCACCTCCGTATACGTCCAAAGTATTACTACTTTCCGAAACTCAGTTATTATTATACATATATATCAACTGTCCATCTCCATCACTGTTTCTTTTCATTTCTGTTATGAAAAAAACTATTGATCTTTTTACTTCGACACCTAATATAAGATTGTACGCTATTAATCGTTGGCACAGGTGATAGGTAGAGGTGCGTTCGGAGAAGTCCGTCTCGTGCAGAAGAAGGACACTGGACACGTGTACGCTATGAAAATACTCCGGAAAGCCGATATGCTTGAAAAGGAGCAAGTGAGTATTATATATTAACACAAAATAGTATGTAAAACAAACACTACTTGGCAAAGGTTATTAGAGAGAAATAAATTATTGACTATTATTACTATAGGCACAGAAATATATATATATATATAAGACTTATTACTCAACATAAAAAAAACAAAACATAATGTAATCTCAACAGTATAACTTACTATTAACCAGTATAAAATAATGTTGTGTGCTAGATGGTAAAATTGTACTTTTTTTCTATTTATTCTTTATTTTGTACTTTGTGATAATAACGGTTTTTTTTTAATATTTGACAAGTATGGAAAAAAATAAAATTTACCTTGGAATGTTTATAGGTCGCCCACGTCCGTGCTGAGAGAGACATTCTAGTTGAAGCCGACCACCAATGGGTAGTGAAGATGTACTACAGTTTTCAAGACCCGATGAACCTGTACCTCATCATGGAGTTTCTCCCAGGGGGTGATATGATGACGCTTCTCATGAAGAAAGACACCCTGAGCGAGGAATGCGCGCAATTCTATGTCGCCGAGACGGCGTTAGCGATTGATAGTATACATAAGCTCGGATTTATTCATAGGTGAGAATTCCATTGTCATCATCAGCCCGTTTGGGTCCACTGCTGGACGTAGGCCCTCTCTTGAGCTCTATTCATCCATTTTCTGCTGGCCACTTTCTTCAGGTCATCCTTCCACCTACTGGTCGTGTAATAGGTCGGCTCTAACGACCATCTTCTCCTCTGCAGATATGGCCAGCCCATTGCCAAAACCTGCTGAGTTTGCTAGCAATATCCGCCACTTTCGTTCTTGGCGGATGACTTCGTTTCGAACTTTGTCCGCAAGAGATATTCCCAACATAGCTCTCCAGGGCACGTTGGGCGAGATTACAGGTCTCGCCATGATAGGTGTCCGAGTGTATAATAGACAAAATGTAAAACGATCTCACTTGCGTTAGCTTGGCCTCTGAAGGGGCTACAGAAAATTAGTGTTATTGAAAAACAATTAATGACAAAGCAGTTTGTTTCTCATATAAAACTACTAGAAGTGTCTCTATTTGTGTTATTGTATAATTTCAGAGACATAAAGCCAGACAACTTGCTGCTAGACGCCCGCGGTCACATAAAGCTAAGCGATTTTGGGCTTTGCACGGGTCTCAAGAAGAGCCATCGTACAGACTTCTACCGAGACCTTAGTAGAGCCACCCCTTCAGACTTCAGTGAGTTCAAGCTTTTTTACACTTTCAAAGACCAAATACGGTCGACTGCGCATCTTCTACATTAGAGATGCACAGACCGCCATCGAATACTGGTGGCCCGACAGCAAAATAATACTCAAATTAATAAATTCTTTTAAATAAAACACTTTAACGGTTTAAAACGTGTTATATAGTAGTTAAACTTATTTGAAATTTATAAATCATTGTCTAATATGTTTAACTAATACATCGCGTTTTAAACCGTTAAAGTGTTTTATTTAAGCGTGTACTACTCGCGTAAAGTATAGACGGTATTTAATAAATTCTTTTTCAATTTTAATACATTATTATCAATTCTCTATCTTCTTTAATTACCCATACTTCCGCCATCAGTTCATGATTTGCTCGAGTGGCCCCTAGTCTTAATAAGTCTTTGCATCCCTGTATATGTTATATGGCTGGGTACACTTTCCATTATTATTATTATTATTTTCTATCGGGGACACCCTTGGCAGGACGGGTGATCAGTCCACGTTATCCGCTGACCATTTCATCCATTTCCCCATTTCCTCCTTGCAGAGGTTTTGGGTCATCCAACTCTCTCCGTGTCCCCTTCAATCCTTCCGGTTTTCTTGCGGAATCTTATTATTTTTTCCATCTGTAGTTCTTTGATCTCATCTTCTGTAACTTCGTCCAAACCCATATGTGTTTGTCTCAGTCTCGAGTATGCAGAGCATTCAGTGAGTAGATGGATGCTTGTTTCCTCACTTTCTCTGCACTCCGGACATAGGGGGTCGCTGCCTATTCCTATCATTGTAAGATGTTTGTTTAGACTTTCCATTATGTGAACTCCATGTTCATCTGTCATTGCGGTAAGCGCGAGAGGTCCTGGGTTCGAATCTCAGCAAAACAAAATAATGATTCGGTCGAGCAGTACACGGAAGTCTGATCAACTACTTGCCTAATTTTTCTCTCTAATATTTTTCTCGATAATCTCTAATGTCTATATTTTTTTTAAAAATTGAGGAAGGAAAGGAGTTTTTGGAAACATTATTAAATGTTTTCGTTAACAAAATGTAAAAATAGTATCTAAATCCATATAAAAGTAATCTTTGTAGATCAGATAAATCCGGGCTCACTTGACGAAAGATGAAATACCACAGTCATATAACAGCTAAACAAGATGCGCTATCGACTTATATGCTCTAGACATAAACTGACACCGAAACACGATTAAAATTCACGACTCTTTCATCTGTGGACTATGTTTCGTGATTCGGACGTAATTTCAAAATACCTACCACACATTGATCTATCTAGATTTTCAGACGTCCAGAAATTTTAAATTGGTTACTAGCATGTTCGTTAGTGATCAAACCGTTGATTATATGCCATACCTTGCTATTAGACGAACGAGCGGGTTAAAAGTTATATAGTTTTGACTGCCATATAACTATTTAAATAAAAACACTAACGCGACATATATTAAATTAAATCTATTTGAATAATATCTTTTCGAATGCTTGGCAGCTGCCGTCACGGGGAGACAGTGAGACAGACAGAAAGTGTTTAAATTTAAATGTGTACTATTCGCGTAAACTACAGCCAGGGCCATATATCTAGTGAAATTTAAAACTCGGAAAAATCACTTTTGTTTCCCCCTTATACAATTTACATATGAACATGAACGAATAGATAACAACCAACTCTTTCTCCTTTATTAATATAAGAAGCTGATTTCCTCTTTAAAGATGTATATCTACATAACATTTAGTATACTTCCCAGTATCGACGTCGTCCTCTGCGATGGACTCGAAACGGCGCGCCGAGTCATGGAAGAGAAACCGACGCGCACTGGCCTACTCCACTGTTGGGACACCGGACTATATAGCGCCAGAAGTCTTCCTGCAGACCGGCTACGGGCCCCAAGCGGATTGGTGGAGTCTCGGCGTCATAATGTAAGTATCGGACGCGATTGTTTCTCTTTCACTCAAATGCTATGAAACGACAGAGATAGTAGGTTTGTTAAAAGGTCTTTGCTTAATTGTTTCGATCGTAAAGGTAACTTACTTGTCTTTAACGGTTTAAAACGTGAAATTTATCATTTATTTTATTAATTGTATTAGTTTACCATTCATTTATTTAATAAATATGTACTGCTCGCGTACACTACAGACACTTACTTATCTATTACTAAAATTGCTAACAGCGAATTTGTTTTTCTTCAGCGCTATTAATTTTTCCTTCATAGATAAAGTAGAAAACATAATTTAATATAAAAAGTTCTGTTTACGCTTATATAATATAGTTTAAGCAATTCTAAGTGCTCTGCTGACCTTACTGTGCCGCGTGCAACTGTTCACTAATAAATAATATTATATATATATATATATATATATATATATATATATATATATATATATATTTATAAAACTTTACATGGTCTTTTTATATTTTTTGTCTTTTATCTTTTTCAAAGTAACATTATATTAGTAATTGACATTAAATATTGACATGAGCTCTAAAAAATGTTTATACGTTCAAAGTGCATTCACTTATAATTAATAAAACTTACCTGGGTTCCTGGGTTCGAACCCCGTGGAAGCAGTAGATTGTTCCGTGATTAAAGACGCATTAATAACTACGAAATATAAAAAACCTTTTATTTCCTATGACACGCAATAATTAAAGTCGCTGCAACTGTTGCTAAAATGCCATTAACTTCAAGCATTATTTACAATTGTTCTTTACATTTTTGTTTGTATAATCGTCACAGGCCTCCTTTAAAGGGTACATCATACTTGGCCGTAAAAGAACTGATCAGTAAAGCGGACAAATGTTCGCCCCATGCCCCATGGGACGAAACGCAATTTCACTTTTACGCTTGGCTTTAATTAAAATAGTAGATTTTAATTTTAGAACATATTAAATAATCCTGTTTTTTAATAAAACACTTTAACGGTTTAAAACGCGATATATATTAGTTAAACTTCGATCTCCCCGTAAACACGTCTGCTGCAAAACATCCGAAACCTCGGGCCGTAGTTAAAAGAATTTTTTAACAAGTTTAACTAATATATAATGCGTTTTAAACCGTTACAGTGTTTTATTTAAATGTGTACTTGTAGCGTAAACTACTGACAGTATTTAAAACACGTTTATCTGTTTTCCGTGCTAAGAATCAATTTCGTTCTAAGCGACTTAGCTTTGCGTATCACTCTCTTACGTTCGATATAAATATTCGAAAGACCCGAACAATCACGATGTTCGAATCACCGTTCGAAATATTTCAGGTACGAGATGCTGATCGGCTATCCACCGTTCTGTTCGGAGTCGCCGCAAGAGACGTACCGGAAAGTGATGTCTTGGCGGGAGTCACTCACCTTCCCACCAGAAATTCCCATCAGCGAAGAGGCTAGGGAGACCATTATGCGCTTCTGTTCTGAACCCGACCGCAGGTAGATTGCTCGTTGGATACTTACCACTTGTTTCTCTTTCTTTCTTACTTTACGTTACCTCCTATTATATCTTACTTTCTTACTTTACCTTACTTTTTTACTTTATCTTACCTTCTTACATTTCTTTAAAGGTATTTCACAAGAGATTTTTTTTTTTTTTCGAATATCCAAATCCATAATAGATCGACAACGGATCTTGTCATCAAGGGCGTCCTACGCTTGTATGTCCTTTATTATAAAAACATAGTTTCCTATTGAGGTGAATAAATTATTTTTGGCATTTTAAATTTTAGGCTGGGCTCCCAACGCGGCATTGAAGATGTTAAGTCTGTGTCGTTCTTCCGTGGGGTCGATTGGAACCACGTTCGCGAGCGACCGGCCGCGATCTCTGTCGACGTCCGATCTATAGACGACACTTCCAACTTCGATGACTTCCCGGACGTCAAACTCGAGATACGTAAGTATTAAACGTTTTTCTTAAGCTTCATAGCATGAACATTGAACCTTAATACGCACACGTTAAGGTTGAAAATACATTGCGCGAGACGCACACGTATCAACGTTGAAAAAACTCAGAGATGACCTGTAGTACACGGTAGCTCATTTGGTTAGAGCAACAGCACGAAACGCTGTGGATGCCGGTTCAAATCTTGTCCGTGGCGTAAATTTCAAATATGAAAGTTTTCAATAAAACACTTAACCGTTTAAATCACTAAATATATTACTTATATAACTACGAGCCAACATTTCAGCAGTCTGAATAAATATTACTAATATATGTTGCGTTAGTGTATTATTTAAATAAATAAGTCAAAGAGTATGTTATTAAAAGCAGAAAACAAACTATTGTCAGCAACTAGTAATTTCGATAGTAAAAATTAATTCGTTTTTAATCTGAACCTGAAGAGAATTATGTGTATCAAACTATTAAAAAATTTTATTCAAAGATGTGTTAAAAGTGCTCAAAGTTATAGGGGCAGCATAGAAGTATTTCTTTCGTAATTGAATGGATGGTTCGATGTTACATTCAAGTAATCTACTTTTTTACTCACCAATTAGAATATTAGTCGTTTAATATTTATCAAGCTTTGTGTTTTCAATTCTGACATTTATAAGGTATTTGCAAAAAAGAATCATACAAATTTATCTCTCTAAAACAAAGTATACCGATCCAAGAATAGTAATAACGAATTTTAACAATTCATTATATAGCTTGTATTTATTCAGAGAAGGCGAAACTATTGACTAGCTGTTGACCTATATAGGCTTTGGATTCAATTTTTAAAATACTAATCATTTAATTTTCAGCGTCGGCGCCGATTACCCAAGATGGCGAAGTAGCATACAAGGACTGGGTGTTTATTAACTACACTTTCAAGAGGTTCGAGGGCCTCACCCAGAGAGGCACGCCCACTAAGAAGTGAACACACTGCGCACGCGCCACTCGAGCTTAAAATCCGCACCAGATGAATAATCACAGTGTGTAAACCTTCAATTCAATAACGTGCGGAAAGTATTATGAATTTGTCATTTCCTGGGATCCGTTTTATCTGAAGCGGCCCTCGGTAATTCTGAGCGACATCTGGGTTCTCAATAAAAGGTTGTCAAGAGCGAAATCCTCAATTTGTCAGACTCGAAACATGGTTATTCCCGAGGTTCGTCTTAGTTTATTAAACAAAGATTCAAAATTCATATTAACCGTCGGTTTTATATATTTGGTTTGAAATCGTTATTTTTCACAAAGACGGCTGGACCGCGGCTGTGGTTCGTTTATTTATCTGGTGTGGTTTAGTTTTAGTATAACACTGTCTATATATAGATTTTTTTAAGTGTTTCGACTGTCCATCGCGCTCGGTCAAAGCAACATATTGTTCTCATGTACATAGTTTAAAAACTACCCGTGTACGCGAATCGTATCAACATCGAACAACTAAATATAACCAGCCACAAACGAAAAAACATCCAAAATTTTTATAATTTTCATTTTAGCAGCAAAATAAATTTGAAGTTTGTGACAGTTCGCTCTGATGTCTATTTTGGGCCTGGGACTCTATGAAAAGTGGTCGTAACCCTCATTTACTAACATTGTTAGTACACAATATATACACAGTGTACAATAATTGCCCGGCAATTAATATTGTACTGCGTTTGGAAAGAGACAAGTGACATTTTGGTACACTACTTCGTTTGTTGTCTCTTTCGTACATTAGAAAGTTTGGTCATTTTAATTAGTTGCCAGGTTCTGATACGAGAAAACTAATGCGGGTAGTGTAGCTTTTATTTCTACATGCATTCGTTCCTACTGATACACATACAAAGTAATTTGTATAATTAAAATATGAAAAATATAAAACCATAGCTTGTCGACGGAAAAAGAACTTGATGGGACAATTTTAGCAAACGTTTTAATATTTTTTTTTATGCAATTTTTTATATATTTTCTTACACCGGACATGAAGTTTCTTTAAATACATAGTGTATCATTTTGAAAATGTTATTAGCCCAATCAAGTTCAATTTAAACTAAATATTTTAAAATATTTAACAATGACAAGAGTCGCTGTTCCCTAAGGCGCCGTGAAAGAAGTGCTAGTGAGCGAATGAAAAGAAATTTTAAACCGGAATGGTAAAAATTCCCCCGATACATTATTAGAACGATTCCTGAATCCCATTTAAGTCGTGATTTAACCCGTTTTAAATGCATCATTCGCCATGAAAATTAAATTAAATAAAATTAAATGCTTAAGGCACTGCATTTTTACAAATTAATCTATGGACCAATATTATCTTGACAAAGTGCCCGCTCAAACAGCAGAGCGTTTTCGTGTATTTGTGTATTTTATTTGACTGATCTTATTGTAATTGTAGCATTCGGTGTTTCTATAACAAATTATGAAAAAACCTAATTAGGCACGACGAAACATTTTCCGAATGAAAAATGAAATACTGTCTGTAGCTTACGCGAGTAGTACACATTTAAATAAAACGCTTTAACGGTTCAAAACGCGATATATATTAGTTAAACTTATTTGAGTCTCTGCAAAGCGTCCGAAACGTCGGTGCGTAGTTAAAAATAAATTTCAAACAAGTTTAACTAAAATATATCGCGTTTTAAATCGTTAAAGTGTTATATTTAAATGGAAAAATGAATGACTGCTTACAACGACCAAAGGTAAAGCCTAGCTCGTGGGAAACTAAATTCGTTGTGTAAATTTTACATTTTCAATGTTTTTATCGGTTGTAATATCAAGTTTGTCGCTTTACTCCATGTTTCGCTTATTATGATCGTGTGAGGTGCGAGAAAGGCTAATCAATTGTATAAAATATCTATTAGAACATCGTCTTCGTTTTTTTATTTAATACATCAAATTGTTTGTTTGACAATTACTTTACTCTTCCAAAACCACAGAGAACAATCGGTTATTTTTGTAACAAAATCTTCGAATCGTGACGTCACTCACCAGGATGACACCACGCACTAAACTGCGAACGTCGTATTTGTTAAAATATTCTTGTATTTATGTAAATATCTATTCGAATTTATAGAGTTCAATTCATTACAATAGTGTTCCGTCCAAATTTAGTTACTATTAAATGTTTTATTCAAAAAGTCAACTATTCAATTAGCTCTTGACTCCCTGGTGAATGAAATTTATAACCGAGATCCATTTGAGGAATTTCCTTTGATTGTAGCCTCCGAAACTACGGCGTTTGTGTTCATTAAATTATGGCTCTTTCAATCATAGCCATGATAAATTGGTGTGACTCGTTCGAGTATTATTTTTGTCTCTCTGTTATTTGTGTAAGCGATATCTTTAGGCACTTGTTTAGCACGTTTCAAACGCCTAAACGCGTTCACCGCACTAGCAAAAGTATGGAATTGCTCAAATGAAGTCTTTGAATGAATTGAGAATATGTAGCGCTTGAGGGTCCTCGAACAATGCAATGCATGTAACTTTTCTTTTTTCTCTTATGAAGTGTCTTTTGTTTTATTTAATTTAGCTGACCTATTGTCATGAGACCCAATCTATTTTACTTTAGTTAAATTATTTAATTAATTGTAAGTAAAGAGCTTTGCGTTTGCGTAAATTACCATAAATATTAGTATTCACTGTAGCTCTCTGAACTGGTATCATTAGAGAATTGTTTGAGTGTAAAGTAATCGACGGAAGAATAACCACGGTTAGGGTACTCCGTTTTGTTTATAAACATGTGACTGTCTGTAAGAACATGTTACCGTCTGTAAAATCATGTTACTGTCTGTAAAACTTTTCATTGTCTAACGTTCTGTCAAACACCCAAGTGGAGTGCCAATGATGTGTTGAGATATGACATATTTTTTTTAAATCGGCCTCTCATTAAATTATTTATAACAATACTATCTTGTCTTGTTGTCTTTAATTATTTGTGATCGTGCCTGTGGAGTTGTCTCATAAATATATTGGTTCGTTAATTCTTCCAAATGTCATTAGAAAATTCTCGTTTACAAACGGCTAATAAGTTGAAAAAGACTAACATAATTTTACAAAAATATTTTCCATTAGTTAAGCCTTATTTTAAATTATTTATGTTTTATGAATTACCTTAAGAACGACAATTTTTTTTATGTCCATTGCTCACTTAATACAATCGGAGATAAGCATTCCTGTTTAAAGTAATATTAATAAATACTGTTAAAACTAACTTATTTTCTGCCACCACACACAGTAATATATACCCTGTCTAACAGACCACTGTGACGTTTTTCGATTGTAGTTTGTGACAGCTGGAACGAGGCTACAACTCCACAGACACCCTATCATGTTTACGATGTGTGTGTACAAAGTTCATGTGTATACATTTATACAACTATATATACAATTAGCTGTCATGAGTAGAAGTGTTAAAATAATGCTTTTCAGTGTCCCCGCTAATCGCTTTGTTATTGTTAAAAGTAGTACGTGGATTTGTATTATTTAATTTCTTTAATGTAAGATCTTAAATATATTTTATTTAACGTCTTGTTTCTTCCATGTGATTTAAGAAAGTGGCAATACGAAACGGTATTAAAGAGATATGAAAATAATTGTACTTTTGTTTTCGTCCCAAGCCAGTAGTGATATGAATATTACTCATTAATTATTATTGACTTAGCGAGGACGACACAACACTAGTGCGACGCGTTTTCCGCGCGCGCCCCCGTACTTGCTCAGGAACTGTCAAATACGCACGATGGCGCGCATATCGGCTACGCCTAATTTTGGCTCATAAATGAAACTGTTCAAGAAACAAAAATTTTTATTTTAAGATAAACTCGCAAGGACCGTTTTTATAGTAAACAAATTTGGTCAAAATGAATGCATTATTGCCAATAATTTGTTAGAGTCAAAACGTTTGCGTCAACTGTTAGCTTATAATTACATTTATCATTGAATTGTTAAAAGTTTTTACAAAAACGTAAAAAGTTATAGTACATATGCTATTTACAAACATAATATGCGTTCGATAAGAGAAACTTCATAGTTACATAAAACCAATTTTATTCATTTAAAATTTAGCAAATTAAAATAACAAGAAATAAGTAATTAATCTAAATAAAACGAAACTAGAGACGCGTCACAGATTTCGTAAACAAACAACAATAATATCTATTCGACAATCACATACTTCGCTAGTGATATCCTAAAGAAAAATGCAAGCAATTTGCCTTAAACCGACTACGAAATAAGAGAAAATTAAATGCAGCTTGTTACACTTCTTCACTAACAGTCAGTCCAAACTTATCCGCCGAGATGATACAAACGCACAGATCCAACAAACATAAATATATAAAAATTTCACGCCCACCGATAAAATAACTTTAGTAAATAAATTGTATCTATAACATAAGTAATTTAACAGTTTGGTATCTAGTTAGAGACGTGGCGAGGACACTCTGCCACAAACTAATTGAAGTTGAGCAAAAAAAGGTGTTTTTCGTCTTAAAACTAATGAATGATTAATATTTGTCAAGTATAACTCTGATATGTATATTGAAACGAAAGAGAACTATAAAATAAACAACCCTTCAAAACTAGCGCAAGCTTCGCTTAAAAATCTATACCGAGTCAGTCGTCGCCCATAAACAATAGCTTAAAGGCCTACCGTTTGCATATCGCGAAAAATCTTGGTAAGATTGTGCCTCGTATGAAATTGATACTATATTCTTCAGAAAAGTTTTTTGTAGTTTACAAGTCACAAGCTACATTCGCATTCAATCGCGATGAAACAGTAGACCTGGAGGGAAATTTTCGGCAAAGTGTTTTAGGCTGTAAGTCGCGAATTATATCAAATTCGTAAGAAACTAATCGTTAGGATCGCCGTAAGTTGTATATATCACTTCGTTGAGAATTGCCCTCCGCCGTACCCCCAGTGTGAGTTTAATAGTTAATCCGACTTTGTGTCTTAATCCATCAATCTCACATGACGTACGCATACAAAATGGCTAACCTTTATCATATCACATTCCTTGAAATAACTATATATTAACAGTAGTGTCTTAAGTAAATCATTACAGTACATATATCATTAATAGAAACCAAAGTTTAGCAAACCACAAATGATGCAAAAATGCCGTTGATTACAATTCAAGGGAGACATTTGCGATTCCCGCAATGAACGATGACATGATTAGAATTGCTCCCGATATCATGGACATTGCAAAGCGATCGTTAATCCCTATTATATAGGATATATACCTTGCTCCTACACTACGTCTACGAATATATGATTTACGTATTTAGATATACCACATAGACTTACATATACGATCATTAAAATGTTAAAACTCGAATTACACGAGTAACCGAAAATTACTGAATACAAATACAATATGGGACTTAAATTACATACCCATTCTACAGGGTTATCTTTAGGATGTTTTGAAATCAAGTGAACTAATAAATCAGCTATTGATTTTGTATTTAACAAGAATAAGTGCTGGTTTGATTTCGTTATGCTAGGTACTCACTACAGCCGCAAAACATAGCAGGACCCGAAACAATATAGTGTGGTATTGGGGAACTACACCCTTGCTGAATATTTCGCGCTTCATAATAATCGCTCACATCCGTGAGTGAGTACCCAGCATTACAATGTTGCGATCATTATGTTTAGTAGGCAATAGTAAAATTCAATTCCTTTCTTTCCGTATATCATAATGTCGAGAGGGTTTCAGGGATAATCTCTCTCGGGTGCAGACAAATATTGATACATTATGATACTACGGTTGTAAAGAATGGTATAAATACTAAAACGTCTTGGTGCGATTAAAAAGCAGTGGAAAAAAAACCATAAACATGCTCAAGATATCCGTATAACCAACTGCAGATCGATTCGACTGGCGTCTAAGTTCATTTACCATAGCGATACAATAAATGTTTGTCGTAGGACATTCAAAGGATTACCAAACTCTACATGACTTTGTATCTACTCTGATAAAATAAGTATAATGTATTTTTTCTAACTTGGCAAAAGTACACAACAAACATGGCAGATTTCAAATCATAGAAGACTAGCGATGCCCTTTTATATAGTGAAATTGTTGCCACAGATGTCAAAGGGATAAAGAAATATCGATACATGGAACAAACGACTTCACTTTTCTGACGACCCTTTTTTATAATTTTTTAAATGTATGTTTGTATCGCTTTTCGGCGATCGCGCATAAGTGGGACTTTGACTTTGTTTTCAGCCACATATGTCACAATATCAATTTAATAAGATTGTGCATTTACGTTAATGCATATTTATAATTTTAATTGATTTTAGAAAATATGTTTTTTACAAAGTGAACTTGAGATGGTTCATTAGGTTAATAAATAATCCAGTGTCTATGTTTTTAGTGTGAGTCAATGTAAACCTTGTGAGAAAATCACGATTTTACGTAAAATGTGTTTGTTTACCAAAAATGTCAAGTAAGAAAAAATACACTATAGTTACTTTTTATCAAAACGAAAAAGCTCTCATTTTAGTTTCATAAAACTTTCCAAAGTTTCAAACAAATATAATTCGATACTCATTGAATCGGGATCTGCAATTGAGTATGATCCTATGTCGTGAATCGATTTGGAGGTTATACGAAGTAGTGAGCATTTCGTCCGTGACTTAAGAAGAGCCAGCGCGTTCCGGGTCGTACTCCTCTTCGTTCTTCGGTATATCGAATATCTCTGAGAAGAGAGCAGGCAAGTCCAGACGACGCCAGTTCAGACGGCACCAGCTCAACAAGTCGTGGTGCCTGTCACCAAGGAGACGGACTTCTTGCGCCAGAGCGTTGAAAGCTTCCATGCGATTCGCCACGTTTGCAGTTCCATTTTCTGTCATCTGAAGAAAGACAGTTTTTTTTTAATGATAGACTATTTCCCTACCACCCATTTCAAATCCAGATTCCAGGCGATGTCCAACGCGTTAATTTTATCTATTCATTATTGTGATTTCCTAATCAAGTTATAATTATTCTGAAACATCTTGGACTTTGAAAAACTGGATATTAAAAAACTGTGAGGGCGTTAGCGAAATTCCGTCCGGGTAACGAACCACCGTCCAGAGGCCACCACAGAGTTTTCGGTTTCTGTGAATTTCCGAATATCCACAGCCGAAATAGGTCGACGGCGCACCTGCTTTAGATGTTTTAAGGCTGGGGTAATTCAACTACCATCAAGTGAAACTTGCTTCTCTGACCTCCTCTATCATAAAAAATGCGTAAAAGGAGGTAAACTACAAGTTTTAAATTGACGCGGACACAGATGTATGTAAAAGCGTTTTTGAATTCAAAATCCACATTGAACACGGGAGAGGTCAGCAGTTTGCGATCATCAAAGCGACTCGCACAGATATCATTATGGAAGTTTTTATAATTTCCAGTAGAGTGAAAAATAATGACGTGGGTTCAGTTCATATCACTTGACGCTAAATGTTATCTTTTGTTTTTAAATGATGACGTCACGAGACTTGTACTGTGAGTATTTACGCTGGCTATTCAGTCAGTGTATTTAAAAAAAAACGCTTTAATACGGGATCCCAGGTGTTTGATAACTTGAGGCCATCCTCCTAAACACTGCCTCTCCGCATACCGGCAAACACGAAGACATACAAAGCATCCGAAATTTCGCTCGTAGTTAAAATAAGTTTAACTAATATATATCGCGTTTTAAACCGTTAAAGTGTATTATTTAAATGTGTACTACACGCGTAAATTACATAGAGCATTCCGTGTATGTGTTTTACATACACAAACAGACAAGTTATATATCTTAATGTAATATAACATTTAAACAAGATGCGCTTATATTGACTTTGGACATTTATAATTTAAATACTGTCTATAGTTTACGCGAGTAGTACACATTTAAATAAAACACTTTAACGGTTTAAAACGCGATAAATTAGTTAAACTTATTTGAAAATGATTTTTAACTTCGGCCCGACGTTTCAGTCCCCCCGTGACCACGGCTGCTGCAAAGCATCCGAAACGTCGGGCCGAAGTTAAAAATCATTTTCAAATAAGTTTAACTAATATATCGCGTTTTGAACCGTTGAAGTGCTTTATTTAAATATTTATAATTTTAGATTGACACCGAAACGCGATTAAACTTCACGGCTTTATTTATCTATGACCCATTTAGTATCCAGGTTTCCAGATCAACGTGTTAATAAAAGTTATAAATTGATAAGAAAGATTTTGGACCCCGTGGGAATCGAACTTGCGACACTTTGATCATTAGCCATATTATATTGCTCGTATACATTTATTGTTATCAATAATAATACTCACCACATAAGCAAAAGCGTCGTTAACGTTGCGCAGGAGTGTATCAACTCTGTCTCTCTCGCTGAGTCCACAGCGCTCCGAGGACACGAGAAGGCTGGCTGTGAAGAGTGCTGCTTCATCATCAGTCATATCCATGTTGATGACGGCGCGAACGTAAGATAGGATGCCGGTGGCGAAACGGGTCTAAAAGATAGATGTACAAGATCAAGCGATTTTGATTACGAACTAATTAAAAAGTGCTGTTAGTTAGTTGTTCTTTGGTAAGTATTTATTTTTGGACGCCCAACGGTAACGATTACTTAAGCTTAAATTAAGGTATTTAATATTGAAGCTAGACACAGGCAAAGTGACCTTGATACTCGAAAAAAAAACTACGAAACTTGAAATATTTCTACAAACAAAAATAACTTGTGTTATCTATACTAATGTATAAAGCTGAAGAGTTTGTTTGTTTGGACGCGCTAATCTCAAAGACTACGGGTTCGAAATAAAAAAAAATATTTTTGTGTTGGCTAGAACATTTATCGAGGAAGGCAACAAAATAAAAGTCGATGAAAATTCATACAAACGGCTATTTTATAGATAAAAAGCTATCTCTTAAAAGCAACCGCGGTGGAAATGAAAATTCAATGAAAATTTAAATATACAAGAGGAATGCGTAACAGCCGAAAAGGTACCTACTTACTTAAACTTGTAATAAACGATAATACAAAATGAGCTTAATCTAATATATTAGTAGAGATACAGGACTACTTACATCGTACATCAATTCCAGCTGGCGGTGACTCAGAGAAGTGCCATCGTCGAAGACAATAGCAGTCGGCGTCGAGATGCGGGTGGCGCGTGTCAGCCAAACTTCGAAGAATCCGAGCTGCAGGGCAAACATACTCGAAATATTGTCTTTATTTAAACATTCGATGGATTACATTTATACAACATCATGTCTGAGTCTATAGAATCTACAAATATTATGAAACTCCTTCGCAATGTAATTTCGACCCTAACACCTGCAACTGAAGGTTCATTGTCCTTCGCCATTGTCATCAAAATCATTGAAGTAACACTTTGGATCATTCTTTAAAACACAAATATTTTAATCGCAAAAGCCAATCGCATAGCATCGCATCGCAACTGTGGACGTCCACGTTAAAAGCAAGGGTTTTTTTTTAATAAATGATAGTAGGCGATATACTCCAACCTATAGCAGCTAAAGCCGACAGCTCATCTTGCGCTTTCGGCCTACTTTGGCTTTTATATTCGTGTGTGAAGGCGTACCTTGATCAAGATAAGCTGGTCATCTTGCGGCAGGATATGAAACCCTGGTAAGCGTTTGGCGAATTCCACGACTTGCTGGACAGCTGGGGTCATTCTGTAGGCAACGTTCGACCAGAGGACTGTGAGGGTTTCCAGGCGGTTGGCTGCGAGTGCATTGTTAGCATCGTTGGCATTGGCGCACTCCGGTTTAGCAACGCTGGCAGTACCAGCTGAATCGCTGCTTGATACGGCGTTGCTGCAGTGGGCGGTATCAGCACTGCTGCTTCCAGCTTGTCCTGTTGGAAGATTTATCTTAGAACACTCAAATACTTGGTCTTGGTGAAAGAAAGGGAATTTGGATGTAGTTTAATTGGATATAAGATTTGATTATTTGGGTCATTGACGCTCAGTCAATTACCATTATTAAAAAATCATATTTTAGAAAAAGTTAATACTTTGTATTTAAAAAAAAAAACACTTTTACTCTATAAAATGCGACATATATTAGTAAAATTTATTTCGGTTTCGGATGCACGCGAAACGTCAAGCCGTAGTTAAAATATTTTTTTAATAAGTGTACTACTCGCGTAAGCTACAGATTAGTTTTTTTATGTAAGGTTGTTTCCTTTAATTAAAGTGCTGATGCATGTTAACATCTTAGTTTTTCATGATAGAAAAGCATGTTGTCCACTTGATAATAGGTGAAATACCCTAGCTTATAGCATCTAAACAAGACGCGCGGTCGACCTATTTTGGCTTTGGATATTCGGAAATCCACAAACTAAAATCGAATCGTGTTTAAACTTGACGTCTGTATCATCCCTACCACATTTAATATACAGATTTCCAAATGTCCAACATGTTTTAGAAAAATTAAAAATTTATTATACCAGGTGGGGATCGAACCAATGATGATTGCTACCATTAACAACTATGTCAATATTTAAATAAAACACTTTAACGGTTTAAAACGCGATATATGAGTTAAACTTATTTGGAAATGATTTTTAACTTCGGCCCGACGTTTCGGATGCTTTACAGCAGCCATGGTCACGGGGAGACTGCTGAGACTTTTCACGGCTGCTGCAAAGTATACGAAACGTCGGGCCGAAGTTAAAAATCATTTCCAAATAAGTTTAACTAGTATATCGCGTATTAAACTGTTAAAGTGTTTTATTTAAATGTGTACTACTCGCGTAAACTATAGACAGTAGTTCAATATCTTGACATATAAATAGTTCAGGTAACGAACCTTCTCGGTTATCATCCACCTTCATGATGAAGGTCTGAAGCTGCAGCGACCGGCGGAAATCCTCGGTATAAGAGTTCAAGTTGCGGTGCGCGAGTATGATCATCTTGGCCAGGTCCTTCGAAGCCTCCGTCGCGTCGACCTCGTGCTCTTCAGCGGCCGGACCAGCGGACGGCGCCGGTTCCGGGTTCCCGCTGAGGTTCTTCGCGAGGTCAGCCATACTCTCCGGTGTGCAGACGTCACGCCGTTTCGGGATTCTTCCGTATCTAACGGCTGTAAAGGGAGAACTTTGCACAATCGGCCAGATGCGTTGCAGCTACTCAACTGCATCCATTCCCCGGGTGATTGACTCGTCAATTGGCAAATAGATGTTAGTGCAGTGCGTTGATCTGTGCTCTATATCTTGTTAATATGGCGGCCGTGTTTGATGCAGTGTGAAGGGACGCGGTTGCAATTATTTGATTTGGTGTAGTTTTTGTATAATTTTTTGGACCGAATCTAGCTTTCGAACGATTTGGGACACGCACACATGTTCATATATATTGTATGACGATGTAAATATGTTAATATATATAGATAAATGTTGGTTAATTAAATATTAATCAAACGGGTTAACTATTTATTACTGTGTGATATAGTATGATACAATAGAACAAAGTTGTATCTATATTTCTTAATGAGATCTAGCTGTCGTATCTTTATAGTTACTTTTTAGTTAAAATTTACTACTCGTGAATGTACAGCTCTACAGGATCAGAAATATGATACATAGTTAAAAGTATTTATGCCACGTTCTAAATCACTTAAAATAATCTTATTTAAAGTTGCACGCTGTTTAATTACTAAATTATTAATAACTAATGATTGTTCTTTTAAAAATAAGCCCGCTAGAGACAGAGTAGCCTAACTGCAATTTTACCACTTGCGTTATTTATTTTTTCATAGTCTAAATGTTCACACAAATAACAAGTTAAACAAATAATAGTAAATATCATTTTCAACTAAGTTGCGCATATTTTTCTCCCTATTGAAAATAATGTTTTTTGATATTAGGCCACTCTGGCTCTAGCAGTCTCATATAACAGTAGAACTATACTTACAGTCACGGCTCATGCCAACCGCGAGACACTTCTTGAACCGGCAGTACTGGCACCGGTTCCTGTTGAGCCGAATGACCAAGCACTTCCCGTCTCGGAGGCAGCGGTACTCGATCTGTTTCTGAATACTCCGCCGGAAAAACCCCTGCGATGGACGTCAACGTGAAAATGGGAAACCGGAGAAAGTCAAAGTTGAAGTTGAGCAATCCGCAAAAAACGCTCCCTTTGTTCGCCCGTAGGTATCGTTGTTTGCGAAGACTTCATTTTTTTCTGACATCTGACTTTTGAAATTTATGTTTTTTATGAGTTAAACACGGTACAAATAAAATATTAAAATATGGATGGACCTATGTTATTTCCGTCCGTCCAAAGGTCGATACAGAACATAAATATAAGATTACACCGACTACTGAAGCAATCACTGCATATGTCTTGAAAATAGTACAATTTTTTACTATATAAGTGGCCTGATAAGTATGGGTGTCATTTGATGGAAGGTGAAATAGCCCAGCCATGTAAGACATAACACGATGCGCTGTCGGCCTATTTTATTTTTGGGGTATTCTGAAGTCCAGAGACTGAAACTGGCACGCGATTTAACTTCACGACACAGATGGAATGATGATGGAAGTCAAACATTAGAAAAAATATAATACTTACAGTTAGATAATTCTTATTATTTATTACTTCCGTTAAACAATAATACATGTTAGTTAGAAAGAAACAATAGACTGCCGAGATATAGTAAAATAACACAAATTTATCTATAAACAATTTACGTTCACACTTATGTGTTGAATACGAGAAAAATGCCTTATATCTACGGAAACTGTCTACAAATAACCATGAGTGTATTCAGTGACATTAAAAGTACTATGCAATATCTATGATCTTTTGAATGCACTATGTGATAAAAGCGATAATATTTAACTATAGAAAATTTAAATGTTCTTACGTACGTTCGTAACAAGAACAAAATATAATTCACTAGACAGTGTATAGAATTCGAAAATAATCCGGTTGACGATTGGTAAAACGATGTTTATCTTTATTAGTATTACAAACTAAAGTATTTGTTTTAACGCGCTAATCTCAGGAAGCACTGGTTTGAATTAAAAAAATATTATTGATTCTAACATCAAGAAAAGCCTTAGGCTGATGAAGACATCGTGCTGCGACCAATAGAAGCGTGATTTTTTCAGAAGAAACAGTGGGAAATGTGGGGGAAAACGGGAAAAGTATTCATATTCATCTTTAAGGGTTAACTTTGCGTGCGCTGCGAAAACGGCTCAAGATACCCAAAAATATGTAAAGAATGTTAACTATCTAAAAAAAGTCCGCGACGCTATATGTCTATCTTTTAAGATTAACTTGCAAGAACGACGGGACGCGGAGGACGTCGTGGATAACAGCTCAAATTTAGAGATAATAAACTTAAGGAGGTTTGAGGAGCAACAAATTTTGTTGCCCAAAATTCTACGCGGACGAACTCGCTGCATCGCTATTTTAGAATATAGCAGCCCCACGGTTAATAATATGTTATCGCAAAATTAATTAAGTTATAAATATCTAAAAGCAGTATTTGAAAACTTTATTCTTTTTCACACGTCATTGCACATAAATCACTAACCTATTTAGATTAAAACCTTTTTTATTTTTTTTACACACGATAATGGGCTATCGTTATTGTTATTGGTCAAGTAACGGTATGGCATGTTGTCAATAACGGTTCAAGTTTCTCCCGTGTCGTGGATATTTTTTTAAATTGTAAATAGATTATTTTATCACTATATAAATCAATAGAATGTAACTTGTACATTTATGACTACAATTTATTTTGGCCTTAGATATATAACATAATATGCTCCTTAGGTTAATAAATTCACAATAATGTATTAGTTATAGACATATTGAAAAAATGCAGGACCGAGTTTCGTGGTTGTTCTTTTCAACCATCATGACGGACAGACAGACAAACATTTTTCTTTTTATTTATATCTTTCCCTAATATAAAAAAGGTTCATATTTTATTAGCAGCGTTAATACTCGTGGAAGAGTATGTTCTGTAAAGATGTACAGATATGAAGATGCAGTGTGACGTTAATTCTTTAGCTGGCATTCTCGCCGCGTGGGCAGCATATAGTTTGAACGGGAACACAAATTATCTGTGACGTTCATTTATGTAGTAGTCAGACTAAGGGTGCTTAACCAAATAAATGAGTTTATCGCAAACTATAAACTTCTATTACAAATAGAAACAAACATTTTTAACAGTTTAAAACGCGAAATGTATACTTATTTACAAATTAATTTTAACTACGGCCCAAACGCGACGTTTGGGATGCTTCACGGCAGCCGTGGTCACGGGGGATGCTTCCTTGCAGTCATTACACTTTTTACGTAATATATGGATTTTTATAACATGTCTTATAAACTAATACATAGTGAATTTATTAACCAGGAGCAATACGTATTACTGCCAGGCGGTCTTTTCATTAAAGAAAGCCCATTCTTGCCCTCCTCTCTGATATAAAAAAAATATAGTTCTTAACAATAGTACAAAAGGAAAGGTGGCAAAATATACGTATAATGTAAAACCAATGTACCTTACAATAATGTAAAACTAAATAAGTATTTGAACATAGTGTTTTAAATGGTGTTCGGTACATGTGTCTATGTACCTACATTAGAGTAATTCAAATAATGTACCGATATTCGTATTTATTTCAAAGGACTTAAAATGTCTCTTACTAAATATAGTATATCTTTAGTTGGAATAAAGCTTTATAGAGTTAACCATGTGTTAATTCACAATTATGACAGGCTTTTGTCTCATTAGCAATTTTGATGTGTTAAATTGTTACATATCAAATTTTACGCTTTATTAAACTAGAGTACTCTCTCGATTGTTACATAATAATATTATGTAATTAAATGAATTGATATGGGATTCATTTTCAAATCAGATCATTTAATCCACACACACAAAAATACAAAGAATAACACAACAAGTATTAACTTAAAAAACTTTGACGTTAAACGAGTTTTTCGGGCACTGAAAACTACAAAAAGAATCATATAATCATCGTGTTGTACTAGTGTAGCCCTTTCATTTGATACCTATTTTGAATGGGTTAAGAAAAAATATGTAATCCGCCATTTTATATCGGCGGCCATCTTGGATTTATAATGATTTTATTATATTGTATTGTATATGTGTGTACCAAATTGCAGATCAATCTAACAACGGGAAGGTGCTTAAATTTTTTTTCCCAAATAAATAAATTCCGTACGGATCAAGCTAAATAAAACCGTTTAAAAATACAATGCCATAAATAATAATGGATGTGTGTAGAGGGACACCACTCAGCTTTTGTTTTGTACCTGGAAGAAGGCACAATTTTCAGTGATGCCCCACGCTTGATATTTGAAGTAGAACTAGTAGTGAATTATTACATTAAAACAAAAAACAAAACACAAAAAAATAACAAAGCTTTTTTTATACGCAGTTCATTTACAGCTTTTGATGACCGAAGAGAATAGACAACCATGAAGTTTTAATGGAAGGTAAGACTTTGGCTTTGAACATTTGGAAATCCACAGACTGAAATTGAATCGACTTGTTTGCATATACATCCGTGGACTCGGACGGATTTCGATATTACCCCACCCATTTACTATTCAGATAACAAGACGACCTTTTTAAGAAAATGTATAATATGATTAGAAACATATTGGCCGCGTGTGAAACTCTCGACCAATTGATCATAAGACGATCAGAATATGATGTTGTAAGTCGCTGAGGACTGATCACAAATCTACGCCAATGCAAACCGACCCTCAAAAATAAATGTGTCTATTGCATAATATGTATGCACTGATAGAGTTACAACCTCCCCCCCACATGTAAGTGGGGAATATTCACTTATTCGAAAAGCATTCACACAAAACTTGGAGGAACAGAATCGCGAACTTGCGTTCCGTACTCACTTGGTGTTAATAAGTATTAGAAGTGTAGCTTTAGTGTTGAGAGTATTTTTTTAACCTTTAACTTTAAGTAGCTTTTTAATTATTTATATAGACCACCCCTGTAGCCAAATGGTTACGTATTGCCTAGCATTGCGTTCAGCGCGAGAGTTCCTGGGTTCGAAACCCAGGGAAACAAAAAATTGTTTCGGTCAGGCAGGGCAAGTCTGATCAATTATTTGCCTGTTAAAGACCGGATCACTGAAACGAACGAAAATATGTGTTCGTCCCATGCCCCACGAGGGGGAAACGGAATTTCACACATGAATTATTTATAGTCAAATAAAACTGTCAAGTTTAGACTCTTATTTCCTCTCTCAAATACAACTTATAACCTATTAAAAATCACCAAATTACTTTAACAATATAGAATAAGGAAAGAATTGGAACACATAACAGAAGAACACATTTTTCTCATTTTTAGATACAAATGGGATAAAGTTTTACAAACTGTAAACCTTTCATCCAGTTTTAGTTAAGGGAGTTAAAAGAAACTATATGGCAAAAAAAATAGATTAGATACTTATAATTATAAACTATATATAGAAATAATTTAATAGGGATTAAAGGACGAACCATTAGTTAATTAATTTTTACTTTGACACGACTGGTATATACAAAAAAATACAACTAACTAAGACGGCTAAATATATTGAACTTAAATATTTACACGCCGCAGTTTTAACACCTACCAAACAAGTGAGAAGGAAAAGTAAGTGTGACATTAGCTAGACGTACACAAATTTTAGAAGCGTGTTATTCAAGCCTTTTGTCACCAATAAAGCGCCAAGCGCTAAAGAACCGCGCTTTTGTAATGCCGCTAATGTTAAACTATGCAATATAAAAACTTTCATGAAGTTGAATTTTAAACGAATTCAAACCTGAAAGCGGCGAGGTCGAGAGCTCGTTCACGCTACAAGCTGCTTCCTGAATAAGCTGTATTCGCGATAAAGCCTTCGTAAAGCTCGTAATAAAATCAGCACACCCGTTACACACAGTGAATTCCCGTAATGGAGCAGACATATTTCCGTGTCCATTTCACTAATCGGATTTATCGGGAGTACAGTAGCTGGCTGGCATTTGGTTGGGACCAGGGAGATGGGTCCGATTTTATTTATA